CACCCTGTCAGCTTGGCTCCGAGCACATCTGGAGATGGGGCACCCACAGCTCCTCTGGGCAGCTGTGCCATTGCCTCGCCATCCTCTGAGATGAATTTCTCCTTATACCTAACCTAAATTTCCACTCTTTTAGTTTTAGCCATTCCCACTTGTCCGATCGCTACTAGGCTGGGTTAACGTCGGTCTCCCTCCTGCTAATGAGCTCCCTTTAAGTACGGGAAGATTGCAATGAGATTTCCCCAGAGCCTTCTTCAGGCTGAACAGGCACAGCTCCCTCAGCCTTTATCTGTCGGAGAGGTGCTCAGCAAGAAAGCAACCTTGTAATAAGATGGGAGATGAGATAACTTATTGCCAGTTACAGTGTAACTCGTAATCAGACTTAACAAAATGAAAATGGAAAGCTCTCAACAAACATGACACAGTGATGGGTGTTACAGGCATTTGCTTGCAGAGCTGGAATAAGTTAGTTCGTTGGGAGCATCTACTTGAAACAGAATTTTTTTCACAGAGCCACAGGATGCTTTGAGTTGGAAGGGATGTTAAAGATCTTATAGCCCAACCTTCCATCAGACACAAGGACACCTCCCGCTCAGAGCCCTGGCCAGCCTGACTTCAAACACAGTGGCAGGCTATCATCTGCAGCTTTGCTGGGCAGCCTGTTCCTGGGCTTTTGATAGTAACTTGACTGCAAATTACTTTTATTCAATTAAAAGCTGTTAAAATTTATGTTAAAATGAAACAGGAGACTCCTTGCAAGTAATCACAGATGAAATACATATAAAGTTGGAAATGCAGATCTCTGTTTGTAATGTGATTTTTCAGCTTAAGTACTGCTCCTCAGTAGGACTGATTAGTTCCATTTGTTACTAGAATTGTCTCAAAACATGGGTATGTCTACTGCTTTTATATACAAATAATATCTTGCATTTTAGATTTCTTTTCATAGAGAAGTGAAAAAGAAACGTATTAACACTATTGCATGAAGTTAATGGAAAAAGACCTGGAAAAAACTGAACTGGACAAAACATCAAATCTGCTTCTCTTGCTGTGTAAAGTAATTATACTGTGTAACTCAGCTTGTTTCATTGAGGTTCTTTCTAATTAACACAGGAGTTGATGAAAGATCAAAGGTCTCATTACACACGGACCCATTTTTTATGGCCTCACTGCCATTTTTGTTAAAAAAAAAAAAATTAGCTATGCCTTAAGGTTAAGTAGTTTCCATGGTAATTAAGGTTTGGAGGATTTAGTTGGGAATATACTAAGGACTGTCTGTAATTTTATCTCATCAGCTGATTCAAATATTAGAGATTGCAAGTGTGCCTCTAAAAAAATCATTAATAGAGATTTTTAATTACTGCTGTTAGTAGAGTTTTGCAGGGAATTCTGAGCTATTTGTAGTTTCAGATTCAACTGGAATCATTACCTGTATGTCATGACTCTGTGAAGCTCAGTGGCTGCTTATATGTGGACAAAAACACACTCTCTTTCCTAGCACAGGGAAGACAACTTCTTAATATTATTCATAGGCTTCCAAGGACTCACAGGAACAAAATAATGATACACAATGATACAGGAACTTCCTAGGGCAAAGCAGGGGCAGTAGAAAGACACCAGAAACATACTGTGGTCCTGGTAAAGTAAGATCACAAGGTACAATTTGAATTTCAAGAGAAAGCCGAAGTAATGAATGCAAGCATGCTGTTAATTTCTTCATAGAAGTTTTATCAGAATATTCTTTATTTGGAGCAAACCTTTCTGTAAATTACCACTGATTGAGTTGCGGTAGTGGAAGCATCATTTTGATTTGTATCTTGCTATTTTTTCTCTTGTTGTTGTTTTTTTTTTTATTATTATTATTTATTCCTAATTTCATTAGCTGAACATAGACAGGATGTATTACTTTTCTTCAAGATTCACTTTACTGAAAAAAGTGCCCTAGAAAATGCCGTGCTCTAAACAAAACAGCTGTCTCTGTGTGAACAGAGATATGGCCTACAGGCTTTCTTCCTGCTAAGTGAGAGTAGCTTTCTTTCACAGATAGTTCCAAACTTAAAGTATTCACATATGAGACAAGAGGCAGGACTTTCTAGCCTCTGCAGACAGAGATTCATAATTTTCTTTTCAATGGAACAATCTAGCCACAAACCCTTGGGTTTTTCAAAACTGAGAACTTTCTTAATTCTTCTTATTCAATCTATTGCTGCTGTGCTGACATTCAAAAGATTAAAATGATATCATCACTTTTTGAGAGAAAGCCTGTGTTGTGTTTAGTTCTAGAGAGCCTAGTCTTGTGATATTTGTTACATAGCACCATAGTGTCAAGAATTTCTGCTGCAGAAAATCTCATGTTCATCCAACAGTGTGTACACATGAAATAAATTTTTAGCCACTCAGCTACTTCCAGACTGCTCCCAGACTTGGGCATACCCAGAACCAAATGGAAACCTTACATAGGGGAGCAAAGTAAAATTACAAGGTATCTATGCAGGAACTGCGTAGGTAGTTTTCTGGATCACCTGTATAGGACTTACAGGCTTACAGGCTTGCATTCCTTACTGGATCTTGTTTATAGACTTTAATCACTATTTTCAATCACCTAGGGCAATCTCTCTAATGGATAAATGGGGATCCACGCTCAGTGAAGCTACGTATTATCTAACATTTCAGGCTGAACACTAGATCTTTTTAAGTGCTCCAAATGCCTGTACTAATTCCATAACTCAATATGGAAATTAATTATTTTAATGTGCTTTTTCAGGTTATTTTTTCTTAGTAGCATTTGATACTTGCATATTGAGAAGAAGGCATTAGCTCCATCACAGAGGTGGGAAAATGAAACAAGTTTGCCAAAGGAAAATATATCTATATATCTAAGCCCAGAGTGAAACACCCAAAGCTGGATATTTTGAGAATACTTAGTATTGTACATTAAAACCATAGCTACTGTAAGGTTCAAGGAACACTTCACCATGTTCAGGATCATTCTAGCTATCAGATTCTAGAAGACTCAAGTCTGCATGAGGAATGCAGACTGAGTGCCAGTCCCTAAAATTAAAGTCTCTGTGATAGTATAGATGCTTAAGAAGACTAAATGAAATCTTGGTCAATTTTCATCCCTAGCATTCTAGAATTTCTTTGGTCTTCTTGCTTTTTACGGTTTTTATGTTAAAAAGTCTTTGAAGTAAGAAAGAAAACAATGGTAAAAAAGCAAAGACTCCTATAAATAGTAGCTTTATCTGCCAGACTATTGACACACACACCCCTCCTCGAAATAGGTATAATGCAAGAACTTGCTGAGTGTGCACTGGCTCAGGTATTAATGAGGACATGAACTATTTAGGCCTTTTTATGGGTCTGTGATGAGCACCCTTAAAGCCACAGTTCTCTTGGACTTTGTATTGCTGATCATCACACATCGACCCAACAGCCCATCCAACTGCACACCCACCTTATGATCCACTCCATACTTCACAAATTAGTCTCCCACAATGCTCTTGTAGCCTGCTCAAGGTAATGCTCAAGGTGTAAACAGCATGCACTGCTCTCTGCTGAGCCAGTCTTCTCATCAAAGGTTTGTCCCTGGTAAAGTCACACTGCATTCATTGTTTCCAGTCACCTTTGTGTCCTGCAAATGCTTGGAAATGGCTCCTAGGAGTGTTTGCTCCACAATCATCTTGGAGACTGAGGTGAGGCTGACAGACCTGTGGTTCCCTGGATCTTCCCTCTTGCTCATCCTGAAGTTGCAGCAATTTTTTGTGTAACTCTCTTGCTATATCATGTGAAGAGAAGTGATTTGTTACGCATTCCAATGGTGAAACATCTAACATCTCAGAATGTGCAAAAATGTGTGTGTGAGAAGAATTCAAATGTTTGGAAGTCTGAAACAGCAAAAGTTATCTGAAGAAAAATGAAGCAAACCAGAACATTTAAAAATAAGGCATTTTATGTGGTGTGCTTGCAAAAAAAAACTTGTAAATGTATTATTTAAATACTATGAAAATTCCCCTGACTACTGTGTTTAACTGTCCATCTTTAAAGCTCATTAGGGTTTTAAAAAAGATTTAGAAGCTGCTTATGTATGGATTTCAACACAACCTTAAACGTGTAAGTATATCAGACATCAAAATAATTCCTTCCCACAAGACCTATCAAGATGCTATAGCCAGCCATTATTTTAATCTGAGTAGATCAGCCTGATGAATACTGGGTGTTTGATTTCCCGCAAATCTGTCATCATTTCTGGTTAGCTAGTAGATTAAAACTACTAGATAATGCATTAATTATACATAAGCCAAAAAAAAAAAAGAAAGAAAAAAGAAAAAAAAAAAAGAAAAAGGAAAAGAAAAAGAAAATAGGGGAAAAAAGGCAGTTAATGACAATATTTTGTTGACTTTGTGGGCATGTAGAAAATCGTCTGTTTCTTGGGGGGGGGGACTTGGTCCTTTATGTAGGAATTATTTTTCTATTGTTGGCAATTACACTTAGCTTGGGATACCCTAATAAAATATTCCTCCACATACTGAAGAAGAAAGAGTTTATTACAGTGTGACTCCTTACTAGACAGATAAATTCTGATTTTCTGATATTTTATATAAAGGCATGCTTGTGCTGTATGGTAATATTTTCTCTGTAATAAACAGAGTCAAATATAGCAAATAGTTTTGCTTGTTTCTCTGCTTGTGTAGATTACATAGAAATACCTGAGAGTTTTCTCCTTTTCCAAAAATGATGCAAATTGATTTATAGATGTTACTTCAGAGATAATGGGACTATTTTGTAGTGGAGTAGAATACCTCAAGTGAAACTGTTTTTCCCCTTGTAGATTTCTCTTAACTCCATGGTATCAAAAAATATTATCAACAATTAAGTGTAGTATATTGTATAATTATGCCCCTGCTTTGCTATATTTCAGAGTCTGGCTATCTTGCTGTTAGGCTCTTAGTAGATACTTTACATTTTCAACTGGAAAAAAGACTCAGGAACATTTTCTACTTGGAAGCATTAATAAGAAGCATTTATTAGTTTCAAAATTTATAAGCTAATACATAACAGACAGAAGTCGTCAAGTGGTACATAATAAGGATAGATTCTGCAGTGTTAACAGAATTTTAAGGAAGATAAGCTAATGTGAACAATGTGCAAACTAATACAGTTAATTACAAGCTAATATTTCTAGGAATGAAATATGTAGATCAGTTATCTGATGGAGAACTGTGATAATGAAGAATAGCAATACAGACAGGCATTTAAGAGCACATAGAAATGCAGTCCTTGGGTGTACAAATGTGGGAGCACCATCTATGTACTAAGTAAGGATTCTACTGGTGGAACAGCATGTCTTGGTTTGATATCTGTGCAAAAGCTGGCAAACAGGAAGTGGTTAAACAGACATATCTAGAAACTGCCCTTACTGAAGAGACTTTAAAACCCTTATCTCTAGCCCATCTCTGAATCACACAAGAGCTAAAGAATGTGAAATCACCTCAGTAAGGAGAACAGTTGTCATCATAGTAATCTTCAGTTTAGCAGACAAACCTTTTAAAAGATGCAATTTTTGAAAGCTGAGATAAGAGACATTTCTGGATTAAAAAAGGCTTGTGAAGTATTGCTTGTCACGTGAAATCTTTAATCAGAGAAGGTGAATTTTTTTCCAAAGGAAGTGTTGTAGGTCCCCCAGAAATTACGCAGAAATCACTTGAGTTAGTTCTATCACCCACAGTGGGCAAAAGGTCAGGCTGGAGAATCAGTGCTTCCTTCTGGACTACGATGACATGAAAAGCTTATAATGCTATGAAACATCAAAATGGAGCAAAAAAAGAAAGAAACAGACAAACAAAAATCCTTTAAAAAACTACTATAATTTTATAATATCTATCATAATACTCAAACAGTACTTGATAGAGACTGCAGTGAATGGGTTTTTAATAAACAGGCTAAAAGACATTTCTAGCTAGACTACAGTGTCATTTCTTCTTTTCCCTTTTTATTGCTCAATTTTGGTGACTATTCACTAGAAAGGTAGAGTCGCTTTTATTTAAGGCTGACCAGCCCTTCTCCTGTGATAAGATTCTGCTTCCTTTCTTTATCAGCTTATGAAACCTTTTAAGATTGATATTTTCATGCTGGGTTTTCACTTCAAGATAACTATCTGGGAAGCATATTTCTATATTTGGTAGGAATTATAACAAAAAGCAAAATGACTGAGTTTAGTTACAACAATTAGTAAAACAAGGACAATTAGTTCTAAAATATTAAAAAGACTGGGGGAATATATATCAGGAGATATCCCTCTGTTTTAAACTCTCAATGACAGAACATTTTTTCTTACGTGTTGGTAAAATATGAACATGGTTTTGGGCGTTTATAAGTGCTAATCACAAAATAACAAAGGTAATGAACATTGTTAACTAGCAACATGTAATAATCTCAGTGTCAGATAAACTCTTTTTTTCCAGTATGCATATGTAGCTCTTATTAATGTAACTCAAGCTGCACATAATTACTGGTAACAGAAAATCGCTGGCGTTAACCTCCCACTTACAGAACCACACCTTGCCCTCCAGGAAATCCAGCGAGCTTCCCAAGAATGCCCCTAGCTCTGGCCTAGATTTCAGCCTGTTTTATAACATTTTACAGCAGAAGCTTGTCAGATCTAATCCTGACTGATGCACAAGATTTGATTGAACAAAGAAATAAAAGTCATTCTGAAATCTGGTTTTAAGTTACACTTCTTATTACAGTTGTTCCTTTGCTTGGTGTATGTGGTTCAGCAAGTTTGTTGTTCTATCCAGCACGCACAGACTGACACCAAGGTCTGTGGCTATTCAGTTCAGAGATGGAGGGCAGAATAAAAAAACACCATTTCAGTCAAAGCTACTGGACAAGATGACAAGGATGCATTAGCTAAGATAATATTTTCCTTTTTCTATCATTCCAATATGATTATATTTTCTTCTGCTTGGTACAGCTGAATGGCTTTGCTTTTATCTTCTAGGGTTGTGTGCAATTATTAATGAAGAGAAAATGCAACATGGTTCACTTTGATAGGAGAAGGCTTAATGGTTGATTCCTATTCATTTATTTCAGCAGCAGAATAACCATTAGTTTTAAATGCACCTGAAATGTAATTACAACATTCAGTCTGATACCAGGATTGTATCCATCAGCTGGTAAAGCATCTAGGCATGGTCTCTGCGATTCAGTTTCAAATGTACTGCTCGTGCCAATATGGGACTCAGAAGTCCCATTCTGTCCTCAGTTTCCTTTTTCACATATATTTCATAATAATATCCTCTGAGAAGCCCCTTTCTGCCTTATTTTTCTAGAAAATAAGTGTGAAAGCTTTTTCTTTTTCTTTCTTTCTTTCTTTCTTTCTTTCTTTTTTTGCACCTTATAGAGATAAATTAGACTAAATCTAGGAAGAATAACAAGGCCAAGCAAATCTTACATGGAGTCATGGAGTGCTCTCCTGGGAAACAGACAGAGAAAAGGAGGTGGAGACTGTAATGGTCCACAACAGCTACTTCTCTGGTACAGTGACTAAAACAGAGAATCTAACTCTTGATTGCCCAAGCAAGAAAATATTGAGAAACAAAACAGTAGGGAGGTTTATAAATCCTCTGCGTATGTCACTGATGAAAAACGTACGTGGGCTCTGTGTTCTCAAGTCAATAAGAACAATGAAAAATCAGTAAGATTTTATAGAATAAACATGAAACATGATTAAAGGGTTAGGATACTCTCCTAATGTGTGGTCCAAAGATTTCTGTTCATTTAGTTTATCAAAGAGAAAGTTAACGAGAGCTCTTTACATGCGTCTAAAAATACATAGCTTCAATCTAGCAGACAAAGACCCAAGAGTTAGAATCTTAACTTATAGTTTACCATAACTGACCATTGAGAGAGTTACCCAGCATTATCGTAGCTTTTATGTTATTTTTTGTATCAAGATGTGATGTTTTCTCCTTTAAATAATGCAATCTAGTCCAAAAAGGAGCTAATTCAGGACAATCTGCTCTCTGTTATACAAGAAGTCAGACTAGAAGATCATAGAAATCACTTCAGACTTTTTAATCTAATCTAATTAAATAGTTTAATTCTAGTTTAATTTGTTCTTTTGGTTGTTAATAAATAATATTTTTAATTTTCATGTCTGACTGCAGCCTCACCTAACCTCAAGTATTTCTTACTGTATGTGGGTGATGGGACATTGTCATCCTACCAGCACCTCCACCTTCATCCCTAAGACTTGTATCATTATCTTGTTACACAACCTGCAGGGCTTATATTGTTGATATGATGCCAACCACAATCACTGAAAAATGGAGGAGTGGTGATGGAGGACCCAACACAGCTGTTTGAAGACCAAGTTCTCTTCCACTTTTTAAAAACTTAACTAGAATATAGTGCTCAGGTGAGTGTAATCTCTTCACAGATCTATGTTGAGGGTTTTTAGCACATCATTCTCCTTTATTATTTTACAACAAAATCTATAACTTTCCAGACTGCAGGTATAAAAATCCAGGCTGACAAAGATATTTACAATTTTGTTCTTACCTGTTCATTCAGCTGTAGTTTTGCTTGGTAGTCCTGGGAACAGACTACCATCCTGACAAGGACAAACATCACTGTACCGAATGGAGAGAAGCTGTTCCTTTACAACACCTCATGAGGAAGCAGTCCATCTTGTCTGCGGAGCAATTATTTGCTGTCCTTTGGGCTCAGGATCTTTCATTCCTTATGCCTGATGGCAGAGATGAAACAAGATAATCCTGTTGTTTCAGGCAAGATGTCAATCCCATGCCCTCACCCCTGGGCTGTTTCCTTAGGTATGATCCTGTTTTAGGAAGAGGCAGGCACTCCACCACTCTGTGCTGTCCTCATCATGTTTGTGTGCATGAGTCGCTCCCATTTGTCTTGTTTCAAAAGGCAAGCTGCAGCAGACAACTCTCTTTACCTTTTTAGTTATCCCACATTTTGCTGCAGTAAATCCACTTGCAGTTTCCTGAACTACCTGGCCTTTAAATACTTCTTATACTTTCAAGAATTGTTAACAGTTGTGACCTAAAATATCAGTCCCAGTGTGTTCTCAAACCAAGCTTCCACCTACTGGGATTTTGAAAAGACACTCCGTTATACTACTATCAGGAAACTGCCTGGCTGAAACCAAACGATATACTGAAAAAGCATTTCAGTGGGTTTTAAGAAAAGCTTTGCTGCTTGGTAAAACCTTTGCATAAAGCCAGGATAATCCTAGACCAAATGTAAGAACCATAATGCTTCACTGAGCTAAACATGTCAAACTCCAGGATGGAGTTAGTTTCTGGGAAGGAGCTGACTAATGAGCAATAAGTAGAACAGAAGACTATACATTTAATAGAAAGAATTAAAAACCAGCAAAATGCTCTTACCCATTATTCGAGAATGCTGAAGATCTTGTACACTAAATGAAGGACTGTCCAGTGGATGACTAAAGACATTCCTGTATTTCTTCACTTTTAAGTGGATTTCTTTACAGTATCAGAGCTCTTCAGTTGTACCTTTCTTGATGCCTGATATGAAGCATGTTCATATGTCCATACAAATGACTTTCTAAAGTGGTCTTCAGTATTAAGCCATCTGGGACATGATGCTGTGTGTGTTTGAAGTAAAAGAAATCCAAAAGTCTGTTCTGATACATGTGCTTTCCTTTCAGTCAAAGTGTGGGGGTTTTTTTTATAAGCCTGCAGAAGAAAAAACATGGAATTGAAGTTAAGATGGAGTAATGGATGTGTAAAGGTGGAAAATTTTGGATGTCTTAAGATGCAAAAAAGGATGTCTAAAACATGCAACAGAAGTAAATGACTGAGCTGGATAGAAAGCCAATCATTTGGCAGAGTCTGGGGCACCTGCAGAGACAACTTTATCCTGGGAAAATCTGAAATAGAAAATTCAAAACACTGAGTTACAAAACTGTATCAATAGTGAAAGAAGTATCACTTATTCTTTCTTTAAAAAGGAAAACATAAGTTTCAATTGTGAGCATACGCAAAAAGTTTCTAAGTGTGAAGTATACTACAGGCTTAAACCTTTAGTTTTACCTTGAACACATCAGACCCAGTTTTCAAGGCTGTTCAGCACTTGGCAAACACATCATTTTCAACCATAATTATGAAAGATCACGTTTAAAAAAGCTGACTTTTATTTTTGAAGCCCAATCTGGAGAAGGTACTGAAAACCAGAACTCACCCTTTTACCAGTTTCCTCTGAGGGAGTGATGCTAGCAACATAAGAACTTTGCTAAAGAGCTTTTGAGAACTGGTCTCACAAACTTAGAAAATCTGTGTGAAGAAAGCAGTGGTTATCATTCAAACTGGATGCCAGTCTAATTACTGCTTCAAACAAATAGCATAAACAGGATTCATTTTTTAAAGAATATCTTTGGTACACAGTAGTAGTAGCCACACCTGTATCCTCTTAGAATAAACATATTTCTTTTCTGCTCAATACCTTGCACAAGTACACACAAGAATTTGTGCAGTGCTTTTGTAAATTTGTCAAGAGTTTAACTCTCCCAGTTTTTTACTTGACTGAACTTATTGTCATGCTTCATCCAATGCTACACTGAAATTACAGTGGACTTGCTCCGAATGCTGTTAGCCCTAACATGTGAAATTTCCCTTGTATAGAGAAGAAGCTGTACTTCTATTATACTTGATAAGGGCCACAAAGCTGCTCAGTTCCACTTTGCCTCTACCACATTGGTTTAACTAATCTAATCAAGTTGTTTGTGCTCAGCAGTGTTATGTTGGTGAGTGCCACTCAATCCCACAAAGTGCTGTGCTGGTATGGTAGGAGTCTGGGACCATGAAATAAAGATTACTTTCTTATTGGCAATAGTGTGTTTCACCTTTATTGCACTATCTGTCTAGCTGACAGTTATTTTACTTGGACTATCAAACTAATCCCACAAAACCTAATAGCACTACTACATGATTTTAAAAGCAGTTAAACCACATTTCTCATTTCTTACACTGATTTTATACAAGGTGATAGTTAAAAGTTAGGGCACTGAAAACCAATGGAGTTTAGTATTAAAGAAATACTGCATTTTCTTGGGGGGAAAAAAAAAGAACTGAAACCATAAGCTGTCTGTTCCCGAAGAATCTTTGGCAAAGCTCTCAAAAAATCAAATAAAAATTGATATTTTGACATAGGAATAAAATTCTGACTTGCAAAAAAGTCACAGCTTTTGAAATTTCTTTTAGTTTTCCAATAGAGGCATGGGCTTCCTTGAGAAATGTAATATCTAGAAAATATGCATGAACTTGCATTGTTTAGTGATATCTGTGACTCTCTTAAAGGGACTGAAAATCAGTGCCATGTAGAACACAGACATATTAGCACATGGTAAATGTATTTCTTTTAAAGAGGTTCTTGAGCAAATACTTATAATTTTTTTCTTTATGAGAACTGCAATGGACTGGCCGCACAGATCCAATAAGAAACATAACTTGATCAGTTGTTATGAAGAAGTCTTCTTCCTTAGGGTGCATACTCCCATAGAACATTTTTCTGAGAAATTTTCTGCAAAATTTGGTTATTTTGAAGGGTCTATCCTATCAGACATATTTTGGTGACCAATAATCAAGGATAATAGAGGACTTTTTCTTAAAGAGCTCAAACAGAACTACAGGGGCCATGTGTTTGTGGGGCAAATGAACTCACCTTTCAAGAGTACAACAAGGTCCTGGTGTGCACACTATCACACAGTGAGCTGATGTAGTGCAATCCTGGGAGTGGGAGAAGGAGTACATCAAAGGGATGAGAGGGAGAGGAATGTTTCTGCTAGAAGAATGGCAACTCTGTTATTTTAATGTCTATTTTGCTGTGTAGTGCCAGTACCAAAAGAAGAGATGCTTGGAATCACAAGGTTGCTTTATCTGGACTTTCCTTCTTTGGCTTTTTGCACCATTCAGCAGGCAGTGTGTACCCTTGAAGATCTTGAATCTCCCTGGGGAAGATTCCTGCTGTCCACGCTGCTCATCTTCCCAAATGTAGGGCATTGAAAGTAAACCCATAATCAGCATGAGGGTCAGTGTTCACCAAGAGGAGATGCATCTCTGCCTGGCTCCTGCCTGGCCCAGGCTCAGGGAGCGCTCTACCACAGACACTGCCTGTGCCTGAGGCCGTGATGACGTCCATCCCAGCAGCCAGCACCACACACAGGACTGTGGTCAAGCCTGGCTGTGAAACTCCTGCTGGGGATGTTTCCACCGTGTCGGGGCCCTCTTCTGGTTTGTGTCATAGACCACAGAAGGTTCAGATTTTATCCTCCATTTTGTATGGACGATTCCCATGTCTTTGAAAACGTGTTCCCACTGAAGATGAAGGCAAATTCCCACTGCCATTAATGGACTTAGGATGTGTCCTCATCTCTCTTCTTGCTCATTTCCTTTGTTGCAGTAGAACTATTCCTTTATTAAAGCTTTTGCCTAGGGGGAAAAAAAAGCCACATTACTAAATAAATTATGAAATATTTGCATTTATGAAGCCAACCCCTTATGCCTAGCTCCTCCTCTGATATTACGAGGACACTTTTTATAGAGCTTCAGCTTCTGCACTACCATTACTCCTCTGTGGAATCCAAGACTGGGAGGCTACCAAGCAGTGGGTCACAATGAGCCAAGTGACAGTAAGTAATGCCTGCTGGCTTTGACTCAGTGCAGCGCCTAATACTGGTGTCTTGGTTAGTGCTAGAGAATGAAGTTGCACCAGGATGTAGGAAGAGATAAAACCAAAGAATGTACAAAACTGGGGAATTTTCTAAACTTAGCTTTATTTTTTTCTGTGAGAATAAAAGGCCAAAATTTGTAGACAAATCTGTAATAATAATGCCAAGAGCAAAGTGCTAAAGGCATCAGTTTGCTTATCACAGTTTATGCTCTTTTGTATTTGTATTTACTTTTTTTGCCTGCAGTTATTGAATGCCATGAGAATGAATTAAGTTAGCTTTAGTGTCACACTCCGTAATGAAATGGTCTGCAGTTAATCTTTCTATTTTTAAAAATAGAAAGAAAAAAGCATGTTATTCAAATACATTGTTCAAACTATTTAGGTTGGCTTGTAAATTGCTCCCTCCTACTTTTATATATGTAATGCTTTTGATTTTGCCTCACTCCACCTCTTGGAAGTTAGGTAACAAAGAGTGAGCTGCTTCCTCTCCAGGTGATTGGATTTGTTTGGTTTTTAATACTTGGCTAAGTCACTTCAGTTTGTGCTTCTCATTTTTTTCTCTCTGCGGCACAGCCTGTGGAGGTTATACCTGTAAAACAGATAAATGCTCAGCAGCTATCACAGTAAGTGAAACAGATAGTTGACTGTGTTTCTGCATGATTAACTCTTAATGGTTTGCTGTGATTGAAATCAAGGTCTCTGGCCTCCACGGATGTCTCCCACCCTAATGTTCTTTCTGCTCCTCTCTTGGCTCACCTTCTGTTGTCCTCTTCACTCTTCTCAGTTTTCCTCTGAGTTCTCTCCATTCTGACTTCTCTGGTTCTCCATGTTATTTGGCAGAAAAGAGGAGGGCAGGTTCCTGGGCAGTAGGGAACAAAACTACAGCAACTGCCTGTCTTTGTTGCGCAACGTTTCTTCTATGCTTTTTCCTCACAAAATGTCTCATGCAAAATTGTTAGTTCTCTCATTCTCCCCTTGAAAATCTTACTTTCATGCAAAAAATTATTTAGAGTAGTTAGAAAGCAAGAGAAGACACAGATTTAACTTGTGCAATGTCCAGGATTTACAAGATCAGTATAAGCAATGGAGCGGCTGCCAGGGGAAGGAAGCAGTTTCTGAAATATGCACTGAGCTTGGTGTTCTTAATCCTCTGCGTGAATGGGTGGGCAGTGGTGTTGAACATAAACACACAGGTGCAAGAATACAGTTTTAAAACTGCACTATAGAAATCTTGATTTCTGGCTGACAGAACCTTAGCCCAAAAAGGAAACCTGTAAAAATCCAGACACAGAAAAAGCCCTGGAGCTAAATACTGTCACACTTTGGGGAGTCAGAAGTATAGGAACAATGGCAAAAACCCAGCATGCCCAATGACATGGCTTTTAGCAAACAATTGACAGGTTTCAGAAGGCGACAGAGAAAAGCTGCACTGCTATAATGCGACATTATTATCTGAGGGCTTTAATGCATGTAAAAACAAATATACTGGTTAGTATATGATGATGCACAACTGTGTGGCTGATTTGCATGCACAATTTCTATGATTAATAAATTATGCAATGCTAGGACAAGTGTACTACAGTGAACTGCTTGCAGCAACCATGAGCACTCCAGCAGGTCACACTGAACACTCTGTCCTGCTCTGGTAAAGCTTTGAATATTTAATTTTTAGCTTGCAGCTCCTAGGCTGCAAAATGGTGAAAGGAGGGGAAAGATGTTCCTTGCTTTTACCTGATTTGCAGGAGATGCAGAATGGCCACCAATTACCTTGTGTAAAAATGAAAGATGAACTCAACTGAAAAAAATAAAATCAAGGGGATTTATTTGAATAAAAATATAAGAGTTGCTTAAGAATCAATGTATATATTTCAAATCCTAATGTTTTGTACTTAACAATTTGAGTAAAATTAAATTATCAAATATGTATATAATACTGGAACAAATCACTTAAAAACATTAGATAAGTATTAAAAAATTGTATTACAAACTACCTCCCGAGGCCAAGATCTGAAAGAGCTACAATGGTTTCAGATGCCATTTGCAGCAGCTTTTACTGCTGAAGAATTCTGAGAATATTCACCAGAGTAGGCTTTTAATCTGGTATCTCTGATCAAAAAGGAAAGTGTCAGATATAGTTATTATGTTCAGGGTATCAGGCTATCTATCAAAGACTGATACCCTAGCTTGAAATCTGAGATCTGGCTCCTTGCCTCACACTGTGGAGAATGTATTCCCATGCTTTGCCTAACACAAATTCATTTCCTTTACATTCTCATTTTTAAATTACCGTCTTTTTAAAAAATCTCTTGTGTAATATGAGAAATGCATCATATTCTTGCATCACATTCTGAGCACAGTTAGACTTTGGCTTGCACTGAGGTTCTAGCAGACCCTGCCAGCACATCTCTGCCTCCTGAACATTTTACCCAAGGCACAGGCAGCTTACGTGTTTGGAAGCAATTACTGTGCTAAGTATCCAGTGATGTATCTTTTCCAGAAGCTGAAAATGAAGGTATAAAAGACATCTACACAATAATTTATGGGTGTTAATGTATGGGTGTAAGTTTCTCTGGGGATAATTATGTGACTACACTAATAATGCAGAAGATGCTTTGATACATTAAAGAAAAGAATGTTCTTCTTTAGCATTTCAGTACTGTCAGGAGGGCATATATTTGAACAGAAGAGAGGGATGAGCAAACCGTATGTCTTATCAAATATAGCCCATTCTCTTAACACTGCAGGCATGCCATGAAGACACTGTTTGATATAAGAACTGATGTTTAGAAACATTTGCTGGAAACTTTCTGTTTTGAGAGCAGAAAGATGCAAACAGCATACTGCTGGTGAAGCACTGGCATGAGCCACTGCAGAAGTGGGAGAGGCATGCGTTACAACTGGAAGAGGGGGCATTGCTGGCAGTTGGATGGGCAAAACATCCACAGCTTTGCAGACTTTGGTACTTCTAAAAACTAGTCTAGCCCACTTTGAGGCTGACTTTGCTGTGTTTCAGATAGACCTGCAGGCCTTTATGACAAGTCCAGTGTCAGGCTTCATTAGCATGCCTTGAAGAAGGGAAGGTTCCCAGCTAAGTCAGAGCAATTTCTCCCAAATGATCCCTTTGCTGGCTGGCAGACAGCTGACATGGAACATGAGGTCCTTGAGAAGATCCCCAGCACACTGGTGGAAGGGATGGCTCCCATTGCTAGGCTTCAAGGTGTTTTTAGTCCTTGTGGAGACACCTGGAGCAATGCCACCATAAAGCTGCCCTGTGAAATGGCCTCCGGCTGGATGCCTCTGCCTGCTTTCCAGTGGAGTAACTGCCCAGCTGGAATGAAACTTCACACAGTTTAGGTTTTACCACCTTCCCAGTATTTTAGCTTTTGTCTTAGTAAGCCTGTCATCTAATCCTTTAGATGGCCTCTTCCTTTTATATCTGTATAAAATTGCTCAGCAAGCTACTACCTGAGGGATCCCCAGCCACTGGTGTTGCAGGAGAATCCTGAGAGGCTGACAGGAAAACCATCGGACTTGGTTTCCTGGGTTGATGGGGGCATGTGAGACTGGCGGGTGGATGGAGAAGGCCAAGGCAGGCACTGCAAGAGGCCACATTTGCACTTCCTGTCGCTGGAACGCTCATGGGGCTGCTGGGACAGGGCTTTGTCTGAGTAATTACAAGGCCATTCCTACCTAACAATGATACCTGCTGTTGTGTTTGTTGCAAACTCCCCTGTGTTACAGCAAGGCTTAGTGGATATTCTCATTTAGTCTAACCAGAACGGAGCCCAAGGGTCAGAACAGCCATACTTGTGCATCAAGGGGATGAGACACGGGGATTCCAGAAGGAGAAGAGCTTTCTGCCCTCTCCATGCTGGGTCCAACTCTTCTGCCCTTCCGCAGCCGCAGTGTGGCTTACCAGGTCCCTTCCCGGGGGCTGTGCTGCGTGCTGTCCTCCATGGGCACAGAGGGATCAGCAGGTAGAGCTGTGGAGTGTTTGATGTTTTGATAAAGAATGGCACATTTTAAATTAAACTCTTGTAAAAATATGCAAAAATACTTCACACCAGCGACAGCATGTGCTATCAGGGCATGGAAGTTTGAGCAAGGGGATGTGGTCCTGATGTCACATGGCTGGCCTGACAGATACAGGCCATTCAAAAATCCAGAAGTTCAGATTGCTGATCACAGGTCTGTTTTGGGAAAAAGAGCATCTACCCCTGTTTCATAATGTGTGTAGTGGAAGTACTGGGAGATATGCAAATACGGACATTATGCAATGAAAGGAAAACTACTTTAAAACTGTTTACAGTCAGAAAAAGTAAGAACCAGAACTGCAGCCTTTTTATTGCTACACCACTGAAATGAGTGTGTGCCCAGCCTACTTAGGTAGTGTAGTGTACAGGGCTTCTTTCCATCTTCCCACTGCTGTTTATGCCTCTTTAGTAACAGCTGACATGGAGGCAATCAATCTGGAGCACACTGGAAGAGGAATACTGTGAAAAGTATTGCTCTATGATAGCTACCATGTGAACAAATAATTAAGGATACCAATTAGCACTTACAGTCAAGGGATAGGCCTGGGGAGCGGGACTGTGACACACCAGTGTGTCAGCCTGGGGATGGAGACTCCATGCTGTTGAGCTCTGTGAGCCAAACATTGCGGCCGAGCATCTCCCATAGGAAATACAGGTGGTGGAGCAGATCCCAGTGCCCTCTGGTGCACCATGGAGCACCTCACCTGAGTTGACTCCAGTGAAGGACTCCTTGTTGTTCCTGTACAGTAAGGTCACGAACATGTGGTGCTGTGGGCAAGATGCAAGAGGTCAGGCCAGTTAGGTCAGTGTCTGCCATGAAAAAGTGGACAAGACAAATTTTATCTTGGCTTATTCAAGCAAAGCCCTACTGTCCCAGCACTCGATGCTGTCTAACAGGCAATTTTCACAGCCACAAATAGTTATTACTTGACCACAGCTAGTGAAACAATGGAAAGCATGCATGTAAAATAATTTGACAAGCTTCAGAGGAAAAACATTTTTTAACATATTATTTGTAAAATTTTTGCTCATATGTAGAGATAAAGAAAAAAGTCTATTTCATGCAAAATATCTAAACTATTTACATTATTTTCATTGAGCTATGAGAGTCAGCTTAATCTTCAATCCAGGTCGACTAAACATACAATCCAGTTCTGCACAGTTCTCCCCATTAACCTGGCCAGATAATTTTATTTCTTCAAGAAGTACACTCAAATGTGATACGATGCTAATTTATTTGTTACTTTGAATACTTTGTTGATTGATTGATTTTTTCAGGATGGAAAGGGAAGGAAGTCTTCAGTAAATTCTTGTGGTCATAGGGTACTTCTTTATAGCTATTTGACACTTGTATACAGGCAAGGGTATGGACTACAAACACAGCACAACAGAAATATTTGCAGGGCAGGCAAACCTTCAAACAGGAGTTTATAGCAATTCAGGAAAAAAAAAACAAAACTAACAAGTGAGATATAATCCTACAAATGTACCTAGAAACATATTAAAAATTGATTCAAAAAATGCTACTGCAAGTTTGCAAGTTAGCTTTGTCTTTATAGCAAATCTATGCAAACTTCAAATGCTAGGCCTGAGAATGGAGGTATCAAAAATTAACAGCCACATTATCTGCAGTGTGAAAATGTAGATGAAATAACATCTTCAAATATTTTCTTCTCTCTCTTTTTTTCTCCCTAGTTTTCTCAATTTTTCCTTTGGCAGCTATAAAACCATATAACCAATCACAAATAGCTATAGATGGAAGAGAGAGACCATAAAAAGAACATCTTCTCTCTTAATTTATTTTATTCATTCATTTTTTGGACGTGTTTATTGGTTTATATGATTGCTGCACATGAATAAAAGCACTAGAAACATTTCCAAGCTATTGGTAACAAATGATTCAAAGCTCATTTCTTCTCTAAAAATTAATCATAAAAATGAAGCCTTCTTGTCCCCAGACTACTTGTCTTCCTGTCTGCATCCAATTACATCTGATTTTTAAGAAATTCAGCCCAGCCTCAGCAGACATGATCTGATTTCAACAGAACCTGGAACGGGCGGTGATTTTGAAACATTTTGGGGTACTTTTCTCCTGTCAACAGCCCATCCCAGACAGCCTACATAGCAAGGCAAGTTTTCATTTTTCCTCACATCCCCTGTCCAGCATTTCTCACTGACATCCCCTGTGAACCACTGCTGGCAGCAGCGCGCTTTGCCTCAGCGTCACAGTGCAGGGAAAAAAAACAGCCATGTTTTACCCATAAAATGCTTTTACAGCTAATGAAGTGAAAGTCTAGCACATCTGTTAACTTACAGGGCCATTTTTTTCAGAGAGAAAATACAATTTAAGGGAGATATTTCCTACACATTTTATGTAATGAGGGGCTATGCTGTTTGGGAGGAACAGTCTATTTATATCCATGTGGAAGCATCATTGCAACTTTCATAGTGGATCACCAGATGTCTAAAAGCATTGTAGATGTGTTTGTTCTGTGTACAGATGAACCCACCACTCCTCCAAGCTTGCTCAACAGCACGGTTTAAGTCTCCAATGCAGGTCCACTGAACTTCATCCTTCATTGAAACAGACCATTTGGAGTGATCCTGGATTGAGGGGAAGGTGGAATTCAGTGGCGTCCCTATGAGATTTATGTTGTAGACATAGTACTGGAGAGAGCAGTTTGAGGGAAGTTTTTGGCCAGAGTGCTGCCAGGATTCAGCCAACAAATCAGTCTTCAGTTCCTGAGCCACCCAGGCCACATAGATATCTGTAGGACAGCAGAGGATGGGAGAAGTCAGCCTTCATTTTCCTTCATTTAAGAAGGAACCAAAAAGGATCACCTAAACTGGGCAAACTTTGCTCCAATGCCTGAAGTGAACCAGAAGAGATTTTGCCCCCAACCTCCACTCATTTTGAGTTTTATTTCCTGAATTCACTCTTGTTTTCCCTTCTTTTGCTAGAAAACTTGTCAGAAATAATCAATAGGAAATAAAGGAAAAAAAAAAAATTCAATTCTTCATAACAAAAAAAAAGCAGATGATTCAAACCTCATTTTTGTTCTTTGCTCCTACAGTTGAATAACAGGATAGAAAATTTCTGACAACCCCATTAGTGTGCATTGTAAGACATTTGAGAGACCAGATAGCTTTTCACTTTGTGGGGCTGACAGAATGACAGACCATTCCCCACTCTGCTACATTTATTTCTGAAACTGAAATTCTTTTCTTCACCTCAAAGAAAATATTGTCAAAGGATATACTGACTGCCCACTGCTTGCTTGAGCACGTGATAGATAACAGCACTTTCTCTTACCATCCACAAAAGAATTAGACTTTGCAAAGTGGAGAAAGGCTTCCCCACGTGCGGACTGCAGCTTGGAGAGGCGGCGCAGGGGGTGTGAGGGCAGCCTGGAGCCTGCACAGAGCTTTTGAAGGTTTGGGAGATCAGCTTGGAAGGTATCAGGTAGGGAGCAGCTGTAGATTTCTGGATTAGAGCTCAGCATCTGTTGGTCTGGAAAAAAGAAGTAAACAAACAAAAAGAAACAGAAACAAAAGCCCCCAAACAACACAAAAAATCCACAAAGAAATGAAAGCAAGCAAAATGAAAATAGGTTAAAGTGAAGCAATCAAGATAGTAAAGTTCTGCCTGGGAAGAGAAACACAAATCCTTTCTAATCTTCACAATTTATCTCCCAGAGGAGTTCAGTGTCAAAGTAGCTTGTTTTAGCAACCAAAAATGTGTTTAATTGCTTTGAGTTCTGACTGGCCCTGCAGCACACAGCCTGGCTGGGAAAGTAAGCTCCATTTTTACCATGTACACCTCCCTGCTCTCAGCAGAAGGGCCATGCCACATCCCTCCATGACCATCTTCAAGCCTCTGAGTGGTCACACAGTGCTCAAGTGGCATGTGTGAATTCATCTCTGTATCTACAGGAGGAGTTTCCACTCAGTTACACTTGCCAAGCCAAAGCCAAAGAGAAAAGCTGACCAAGAACCTAGCTTGATTTTAGAGAGAAGAGTGTTTGACTTTCAGAATCTGGACCGAATCTGCAGAGGAAAGTTCTCTGTACAGTGCTCAGTCCTTGCTGTGGATTGCATAAAGAGGAAGAGTACAAATAGCTGACGAGTTCATGAAGATGACTCCATCAGGAACTTTCCAGTCTTTCCAGCTCAGGAAAACCCTAAACTACAGATTACCAGAAGCTGGGAGGATAGAGCATGAAAACATTACTGTGCTTCTCATTCTCTTCTTCCCTTTCCCTAAGCACAAGCAAAGATGCACCTCCAGGAACAGGATCTTGGTTTTGACAGCTCCATAGTGTGCCCAGCTTGTTTGTTTACAATCTTACACATTTCTTTGATAAAATCTGGCGCTGGTAACTGAGCAAAGAGCGAAAAACAATGTAAAAGGTGTTAAGGAACATATAAGTGTGTCATCTTACCATGCCTTTTGATAGTCCTTATTCAGAACCTCCAGTGTCAGGTACTTCTAAATCTTACAGATACAGATTTTTTTTTTCTTATTTTTAGGTTTCATGTTTTATGTGGCAAAAAGTACCTATAGAAATTCTGGGGAATATTTTTTCAAGCAGTGATTATTGATATTTTTCAAGCAGCTTTGCATTTGTAGAACTGCAGACTACAGCAGTTGAATAAGCTATTACTTCTGTTAAAAATGATGACCCATCCTCCTTTATATCTCTAAAGCATTTGGTATGTATGGGCTGACTTTGCCCTCAATATGCTCTTGCGACTATTATTATCTCAATAGACCCCATGGGAGATGGAGAGAGAGTGGAAGAGTGAATTTCCCACGTTCCCACAGGAAGAACTCGATAAATAGAACTGAAAGTCAAGCACAGAGTTTCCAGGCCCCATTTGGTTACCAAATTTGATAATGGAGGATAAAAGCAAACAATTTTGGAGGCACAGCAAAAAAGGAAAGGAGTCAGAGAGTTGCAGTGGTGCAAAGGCATTCTTAGGGAGGTTTCCTTACCTATTTCTATGAACTGCTCATACATGAAAGTTATGCACATGGCTGTCTGTCCGTAGAACTCCCCACTGGCTGGGTAACCATAGCCATCCTCAGGAAAGGGGGGGAACAAGGGCACGCTGTGGATCACCCAGAAGCCTTGTGATTTGTCCAAGAGCAGAAATCCTATCAGAGGAAAGTTATATCAAATGAATGACGTAAGCCCTGAGACATCACAGTGGTGCCCTGCTTTGGATTTGGATGCTGCAGACATCATGCTTTAGTGTGTTAATGTCTACAGTGAAACTGTCTCTACAATATATTAATGGGCTATAGAAAACACTGATATTGTGCTAAAATTGCATTAATTCTTGGCTGTGTAGCCGAACTTGAACCGTCACTTCTGTGCTTTCAAAGAAAACCTTTGCAAAACTTTTTCATTCTCTGCTCAAATACTGTCTCTGAAAAATCTGATGGTTTAATATCTGTGACTCCCTCCTCATGACCCCCTCCCCTTCCCTTCATTTCATCACTGTGCTCAGTGCAGGATGCCCTGCAGGTAGGCAGGGGCCCAGGGAGCAGCCCCCAGCTCTGCAGCTGGATACAGCCCTGCCATGGCTCTCCAGCTCCAAACTGGGCAAGTCCTATCTGCTTCCTCGAGGGACCACCAGGACTGCACAGCAGCTCTGTGGCTATACTGTCACTGCTTACTTAAGTGCTTCTATAATCCTTCCACAGACATGGAAAGCTGGGAGCTCAGAGGCTAACCATCTCACAGGGTGCCATTCCCCTTGCACTGGGTGCTGCTGTCACACAGCCAGCTCAGGACGATGCGTCTGTACTTGCTGAAGGAGATACATGAGTTTCCACTCTTGAAAACAAAGGTTCCCTAATCCCTAAGAGTTCTTCAACACAGAACAGGAACAGCAGAACCAGAATAGAAGCAACTGCGGTTGTCACCACACTGCAAACCACTCATCATGCAAATCTGCTTTCCAGTTTTGTTTTAGGCAGGATTTTTAGATATGCAGATTGACAAACAAACAAATTCCACAACTTTAAAAAGGATGAAAGCTAGGGACTCTCCCTGTACCTTTGGTGTGTCCTCTTTTCTTGCTGATGGGGCCTGAGTGAGGGACCTCATCGTTATAGATTGCATACACAGTGTTGTTCCTCTGCAGGGAAACACACATTTCTGAAACACAACATTCAGTAAGAGGAAGGCCTTTAAGCAAACAACTTTTGCTGAAAGAATTCAGCAGATCTCTGCATACATCACGAGACTCTTTCCTGTGTCAGCTGCCACCATCTCCACAGAGCTTACACGAAAATAAACTTGAAGACTCAGCATTAGGATCCTGGTTAATATAAAGCAGAAGTTCTCTCAATCATTGCAACAGTCCTTCAAGCTCAATATGCTCAATAGGACAGTTTCCACAGGTTCTGTTGGGCAACCACTTCCCAGAACTTCCCACCCTCTGCTTTTCTGTGCATCTCTTTCTCACTTAGCAATAAGATCCTGTAAAAATGTCTGCTCAGGAAAAGAAGCCATTGCAAGTGTTCTTATGAAGGACAAACAATGAATATTTTTTACAAAAAAATTTACATACAACTGCACCTACATGTTATCTGCCCCGAATAAAGAACTTCAAAGGTTGAGAGACATTTCCCCACCTGATGCACAGTTTGCAAATGCTAGCAGGGTAGGAAGATGGGATCAGCATAGCTCAGTGTTGTGAGCTTGTAAAGATTGTTTGTATTACAGCTCCAGCGTGATACAAAATAGGAGAGTCGAGTGGTTTGGCAATATTCGACCAATTTTTTTTTTACATATAAATGTAATGACACCCTACACTAACCCACAGCAGAAATGCAAAGACACACCCAGACTCCTAAGAATGGGAACAGTGTGTAGATGCTAAAAAATAATCATGGGCAGACCTTGTGGTATTTTATGATCACACTAGTATAAAGGAAGTTTCTGACTAGAAAAAGAAATTATTACTGGTGAAGCAGTCAGAAGGCAACAGCAAAACCCAAATGTGATCTAAGGCATTGGAGCAGCTTGCCCAGAGAGGCAGTGGATGCCCTGTTCCTGGATACTTGCAATGTCAGCCTGGACAGGGCTCTGAGTGCTTGATCGAGCTGTCGGTGTCTCTGTTCAGTGCAGGGGAGTTGGGGTAGCTGACGTTTAGGGGTCCCATCCAACTCAAACAATTCTACGATTCTATGATTCTAATTGTAGCCAGAATTGCAAATGATCTGCCAAGCCACCAGTGTGCTCACGTTGATGCATATTAGCAGATCTAGTCAGTCAGGTCTGGCTATATCCCTACATGCTTATTTTGGCTGGTTTCATTTAATTTGCATGTAGTGTCAAGTAGACATGCTAGCAACACAGCAATTAAACCTTACTTACCTTGGACTCGTATGCTTTGTAGAGCTGCTCCAGTGTCTGTCCCAAAGCACCCTGTGTCATGTTCACAAGGTACCTGCCAGGCTGCCACTGCTGCGCTAGGCTGTCCATGTACAGGTATTCCAGGCCCAGCCCTGTGCCATCTCCTTTGGTGTGCTTTGGCAGCTTGTATAGAGCAAACCTGCAGCAGTGACAAACAAATTTTGTTTTTCTCACTAACCATTCTACTGAATGCATAGGTCCATCTCTTCTCCCCCATGAGCATGTAAAGACCAAGGTGGCCACAGGGATGCCTGCACAGTGGCACCAGTGCTAACACTCTGGAGCCAGCACTACCGTGTCCCTGCGGACACCTTCAGTCTACTTCTCTGAAGAGGCTTAGACAGCACCAAACTACCCTTGCTATGGCCACACTGCTGTCAGTACCCCAGAATAACTAGCCTTAGTTTTCCCTCACTGCACCCACGTCCCTCCTGTGGCTAAAATGTGAACGTGAGCGTCTTTGAGCAAAACTCTGTCTTGCATCTTTATGAGGTTTTCACCCTTGGCACAAAGGCTGCTGAGAGGATGAGCTCTGCCTGGCATTTCAGTGATGAACTGTGAGCTCAGCATCAGGGAGATACAGCAGGGAAACCTATTCAGGGATGCACGTTGTGGGGACATCCTCTGGCATCCCATGCAGCCACCAAATTCATGCTGCTTGTTCCTGGCTTTCATAAACAGGAAAAGGCTGAGCCTGAACTTCAGCTCCCAAACTCAGTCTGTCATTCTCTTGGTCAGTATGGATAACTCTTACCAACCATTTCTTATTCCATACAAATAGAATTATATATTTATATGAACCATAATTACGTTGTATATTAAATCATAAAATTGTATAATTCCACATGTTCATACATACATATAATAAGCACGAAACCGTGATTAATTACAATCCTTCAATAGCAGACTCACATTCTGCTGAGCTGTTGCAAGTGGAATATTTAAAAACAATTAGTAAGAAACACAACTCTCTTCAAAATTGCAGAGTACTCTACATTGTTGGTAAATGGGTCCATTCCTACTAGTGTTTCTGATGAAGTAAACAGGTTTTCCTAGTGCAAAAGTCCATGGGATTAATTGCAGTCTAATTAATTGAGCCACTTTCTTTGAGTGCTCTGCTTAAGTAATTTATTATTTACGTCAATAGTAAGAACTGAGTGGCATTATTTTCAGTCCTGGGTATAGTACTTGGCAATAATGCAGTCTGACTGCACTTAACACTTTGAGTATGTCAGGAGGAGTAGGTCCTGCCCAGATAAATTACAGTTGGTTAAAAAAAAAAAAAAAAAAGGCAGCTCAGAAAGCAGGTAAAAGCACCAGAAGAGCATTATGCTAGAGGGACATTTAGTCCATGGGAAGGGCACATATACAGGCTGAGGAGAAGCACACACTATGCTAATGGTTCTTGTAATCCACCTACATCCCCACTGTCCGAGGGACATCCCAGGAGAAGGTGAAGAAGGGATTTGCAGGGGAGGTCTGGTGAGAGTGTTTCCTATTTGAAAAGCTGCAGCCACCCCTTCACTTGCGATGAGGTTTTGGAAAGAAGACAAATAGTAGTAGTTATACAGGTAGGAGATGAGCCAAGAACTGCTGCCTGAAGCCTTTCCAAACTCCTCCAAAACATTCTGGAAGGTCAGTGATCTCTCCATGTTTACAGCCCTGCAGCTAACCTGCTTACAGGAATGCCCACTCCCAGGTGAGCTGAGTACTCGTCCTGACAGCTGAGTGCCTCAGCAATTGAAGCTGGATAAAAGTCCTCATTGCTAGTGGTGCACAGGAAGTTTATCAAGAGTTTGAAGTATTGAAGTGTTGTGGGAATGGACAGAAATTACTTTCCTGACAATCAGGAAAAAGCAAAGTCATTAGCAGTAAAGAATCTGATTAACACAGCCACAGTGTTTCCTTCTGAGTGAGCACTGAATTTCTAGAAGCAATTTTTAACCATCTTTTAATCTCTTTTTTCCCCATCCTATAAAAACCAGTGCACTGCCCTGGCTTCAATCCCTAGCTCTGCGTGCACAAGATGATTCTCAAAGAGCGCAGTGAACTTGGGCCAATAAAGCAGAGACCTCTGCCCTCCTAAGGACAGTGGGCCTGGGGCCATATGCTGCGTGCAGGGGGTGCTGAGGTGAGCTCCCAGGTGAAACAGCACCTGTGGCCATTGCCAGCCCTACCACTCATGGAAGGAAGTGCAGGCAGGCTGGGGACACAGGTGGGAGCACAGATTCATGGCACAGTTTGGGTTGGAAGGGATCTTACAGATCCAGCTGTCCACCAGTAGGATGCCTCCCAGTAACTTGAGTTGCCCAAAGCCCCCTCCCACCCAGCCTTAGGCATTTCCATGGAGGGATCAGAGTGGATAAGGGAAATGATTCCTTCAGTCTAGCAGCAAAGAAAATGCGTGTGAGTACTGGTAATAAGCAATTATGGAGAACTGCAGCAGGAAGCCACTGAACAGCAGAGACTCGCATACAGCTCCTGCTAAGTGAAAATAAAAAAAGTAAAAGCTGTGTTTGTTTGAAACGGTGTCAACATTCTTTGGTTAAGAGGAAGCTTTTCTCAGCAGTTTCAGTTCTCCTTCGTAGCAACTGACTTCAGAATCGGGAAGAAGCAGAGGATTTTGTCAATAAACAAGCATGACCATGCTGACAGGCAAGCTTCTCTTTCATCAGGTCACGATACGTTTGGAAGATCTCCCCTCTTCTCCCTACTACTCCTGTCAGAAGGGACCAGGGTCAGCAACTTACTCTGAAAAGAATCATTGTTTTACAGATAAATGAAGTCTTTCTCATCACCAATTTCTTGGCTGCCTGCACCAATTCAGATTCTGATTCCCAAAAAATGACTTTTATCTGGAGGTGCGTTGGTAAGCGGGATGGGGCTGGGCCAGTCCCTCAGGAGCTCAATGTGAGCAACATGCTGCCTGTGCTTGGGAGCCCCCGGTGATCCACGTGTGAGGGTGGTGGTACGGAGCAGCACCACCTCCTCTATCGCTTATATCTGAACTGATTGCTGCTCTATCATTCTTATTTTAAAGTGGTGATATTTGTCTTTCAGAGGTTTCAGTGCTTTTTTTCTTTTATTTCCTTTCTTAAGAGCCCTTGCTTTACTTTCTAAACCTGGGTTGGCTGTTATGTGATTACACTTCGTGTCTTTCATCTTCAGGGTGCATTAATCCAGTTAATCACTTGGCACCTAAGTGCTGGCTGAGTGCTGCCAGACACCACATTCCCACACAGCCATGGCTGCCTGCGCTCCTTGTGCATCTCCCAGCCCACTCGGCAGGTGACTGGGCCTCGGCTCCACTGTGTGGCCAGGGGCCATCAGTGAGATCAGGGCAGGGTGCGGGCATTTTCCCGGCAGTGCTGCTGCAGGCAGTTGTGGTGCTGGCACTGGAACACAGGCGAGGCTGGCTTTGATCATCAGACATGCATGCTGTGTAAACCTGTCATTATTTTGCAGTTAGTCATAACAGAGCAGCGTGGTTGGTTCCATGCAATGAAATCACCTTTCAATAACCTAGCCCAGGTTTTCCTAATGCAAAAATCAGCTACTCAGAGGCAAGAAGGATTAAACCAGTGATTGCTATGCATTACTTTCCAGTGACCCACCTACCCTGCACAGTATAATTTTAGGCATTATTTACTCATCCAGTTTCCCTCCCATGTGTGGTGCTTACTTACCAGTCCACTGCCTCCCCGTCTTCATTCCTGCAGGAAATCTCCGCTGCCCACAGGGCTGGGGAGAAGAGCAGCAGCAGCAGAGTAGGGCCGCACCACGCAGAGCTCGCAATCATCTCGGTGCGTGGCACAGTGAGTGCAGGGCAGGCTCCGAAAGCAGAAGTCACCCGCATTTCCTCAGGCCGTTGGTGAACGCCCCCAGGATCAATGCGGGCGGAAGAACGGAAACGTGAAACTCGTCAATATTGTACAACTACCTGAAAAACTTCAGTTTTCAGACAAGCAAACCAAACCCACTTTCTCCTCTCTGCTTTTTCATGCAGCCTTTGCACCACTCCCATTTGGGTGTGGTGCCAGCCCCCAGTTCAGCTCCGTTCCTCCATTTGCCCATGGGCACTGAGCCTGCAGAGACTGACAGCAACAAAAACCTCTGAGCCACAGCAATTTACTTCCAGTTAGTTAGTGAGGTTTTAAAATTCCTTTTAAAATGCATTAACATTTATCTTAGGAACAAAGTCTGAATTGAACTGAGCCTTGAAAATATTCTCTTCTCCTTTCCCATTACACTTGCACTGGAAGAAGTTAATATCAGGTACGGGACGAGTCAGCCTCAGGGAAAGTCTATTGCAGTCAGCACTGGATGTTTTAGCAGAAAAGAAAACCCCATGACCCCACAGTATTTTTCCTTCTCTCCCATTGCAGTGCCTCCAAGTTGGGCTGCACAGTTTGACCAAAGCAGGATAAAAGCAATTAGGGCTTAGCGCAAACAAAAACAATGATCCCAGAAAGCCAGGATTGTAGAAGTGTGAATTGAGAGCTGAATTTTGCTGCTCAGACTTGCTTCTGATCCCTTTCATGAGCAATCAGGGCTGGAATCCAGTTGCAACAAAACCCTTTCAACCAGCCCAGCCCTGCACTTCTTTCCTTCTTTCTCTCGAGAACCACAACGTGCACAGATGGGGCAACAGAAAACAAAAGTCATCAAGAACATGACAGCTGCTTTCATTCTTTCGTTGGGAGTTATGCCTGCTCACAAAGCCACCTGCCTGCCCTGCACTGAAGCTTTGCTTCAATGCCCCTGCAGCTCCGCGTGCGATTTGCTAAAAGATCTGCCCTCCAAGAAACGTTTTAAAGTCTGTCATAGCTGTTACTCATAAAGACATCTTCTCAAAGCATTTATCCTTCTATCAGGACTTGGAAATATTTTCATAATCACAGGTAATCACAGAAATAAAACAATAAACGTTACTTATGTTTCACTGCCTAAGTGTAACTAATGCCTCTGCCGAGTTCTATTACAACTATAGCTTGTGTGTTTTCCCTTCAGATTAAGGATATAGAATTGCTCAACTGTGAATATGGCAAGAACACAATCAAGTTCCTTCGCCTTCATAGAGATGGAAAGAAGCACTTCGTTAAAGAAGTGGAAGTGTGCACACATCTCCGGCTGACTTCTGCTCATGAGTATTTGGATGGAAACAACTCTTTTGTGATACCTACAGACACCATTAAGAATATTGTCCTGGTGTTGGCCAAACAAAAAGGGGTATCTTTTACTTTTTAGCTATCCTTGCTTTTCTTGTCTCTTCACTAGGCAGTGTTTGTTATGCAGCATTTTAAACAGAAGGACTCTAAGTAGCTTAGTCTCCTCTTAATTCTGTTAACTGTGCTCTTACTTCCCTTAGTTCCTCATACTGTAAAGAAAATCTGCAGCTCAAGTTCTCTCTCTTTTAATGAAATCCACATTCAGCATTACATCCAGGGACTCCAGCTCCCAAGCTGCAGAATGGGAGATTGTTGAGCTGGATCTGGATGTTTATTTGCAGCATTTGCTGCAAGCTGATCAAATGAGTAGGCTCGCCACGTGCAGAGCCAGAATTGAAAGAAATCTGTATTTTTAACAACACTGATCCTCCTTAAATATTTACAATTAGAACAATCTGCTCTCATATGTGAGGTAATTGCTTTGTTCTAATAATATTCTTTGCTGCCTTAGATCTCAAGTATAGAACAATTTGCTATTGATATCTGCAAACACTTCATGACAACATTTTGCCAAGTGGCGTACGTCAAAACCTACATTCAGGAAGTGCCATGGCAACGTCAATACCAGGTATCTGAAATACTAATGCATTCCCTTGGCTCGTGCTGGAGCCATTTGTCACTCTCTTACCCTGTTCTCCTGTTAAGGTGATGCTTTCTGCATTTTAACTCACATGTCTGCTCTGGATTTTAGAACGGCGTTCCCCACATCCACTCATTCATACTTGTTCCTGATGGGATTCGCTTTTGTGAAGCTGAGCAGTGCCGGAATGGTGAGAAAAGACTTTGCAGCTTCCCCTGTTTCTCTGTAAATATTTCTGCTGATGAAAGAAGGTGGCTTTAGGGACAGCAAAAGCCGTGGCAGGGCTTACAGAGTAACAAAACCTCTCCAGAGGTCTAAACCAAGGAATAATTTTATGGTCTAATTGTGTAGTCCTTGATCTCTGAGAGACAGCTAAAGAACAGCTGAGCATTGGCCCCACATTCCTGCTGAAAAAAAAGAGAAAGCCCATGCAGGTTTCCAGTGCCTTTTGGCATAATGTTTTGTAATGTTCACAGTAATGTTGACAACTACTACATTTTTGTCAGCCTTGATATAATTAATTTTATCTTCTTGAAAAAAATTAAGAAACCTGAAAAAAAAAAAAAAAAAGTTTATGCTTTCTTGAGACGCTTCTGCTTCCAGTGTATGAACTGAATATAATATTTCATCATCATGATAATTCTGCATGCAATTTTGCAATTTCAGCCTTTACAAAGGCTTTCTGAAAAAACTGCCTTTTCTTCTTAGTCTTTTCTTCATGTAGTCCTTCAGCTGTTTCTTCAGGATTCCCTGCTTGTGTGCACAATAATCAGAAGATTTTCAACGCTCTTTTATTCTCCTTATAAGTGAGCCTTCTCTATCTTTAGCATCCTCCTATGCACCTAACAGCCAGACACATAAATTTATTTCTCTGTTAACCCTGTGTTTTAGCACTTTACTCATCATTAAAAGAAAACTTGTGAGGCTTAACAGAATTACAAGTTTTTTTTTCTTCTTCTTTTTTTTTCTCCCCTGTACTATTTCAATTGATTGGAGGTTCAGAATTTTTTAAAACCTGAAAAAATCAGAAGTAACTTAATCACAGCATTGCAGGGTTGGAAGAGACCTCGAGAGATCATCGATTCCAACTCTCAGTGGAGCTGCCATCAGACAACTGAAAAAACAGTACAAGCACAAAAGCTTCTGAAAGCACAGGGACATTCAGCTCTTTAAAAACTTTGTCAAGGTGTTATAGTTCTAGGTAGATAGCTAGCCAGCCAGCATTTCATTAAAGCACTTGTTGCAAGCAGCTTTTTCAAACAAGAGTATGCATTTGAATATGAAATATTTCAAGGTACACTGATAGTATTTGATTACATTTGTACACAGTTATCTTATAGCTGAGCAATGAAGTCATCAAGATCTGAACCAAATCCAGTATATTCTGTTCAACAATATTGGGCAGTTAAGATAAATCTTTAGATTCTATAAAGCTTTGGTGAATAATGAGGGAATGTAGTGAAAGTAATAGATAACACCTCCCTGGACCCATTCAAAAAGCAATGATGAATGTAAACAAGAAAAGAAATAGGTGAAATACAGTTTTAATCATATCCAGTAACAAGTCATTAAAACAAACAAACAAACAAAAAAAAACCACTCTAAACAATCATTTCATTTGAAAATATCTATCAAAGCAAAATTACTTTCAATATAACTTTCACTGAATCATAGAATGGCCTGGGTTGAAAAGAACCTCAAAGATCACCTAGTTTCAACCCCTCTGCTTGGGAGCCACTAGACCAGGCTGCCCAGAGCCACATCAAGCCTGGCTTTGAATGCCTCCAGGGATGGGGCATCCACATCTTCCTTGGGCAACCTGTTCCAGTGCATCATCCTCTGAGTGAAAAGCTTCCCCATAATATCTAACCTAATCTTCCCCTGTCTCAGTTTAAAACCACTCCCCCTTGTCCTATCACTATCCACCCTTGTAAACAGCCGTTCCCCCTCCTTTTTATATGCTCCTTTCTTCAAAGACAATTTAAGGACAAAGTGTGTCAGTCCTCCAAGTCAAAGGCAGGATTACTATGTGCCAGGCTTACTCAAGGATTAATTTTGAACTAGCTAGTGTGTGCATGAAGAGCACAAAGCAGCAGCATGGGCTTCAGCCAGTGAACATCTATATGGGCTCTGGGTAAGTCTGCATGGTGTAAAGTTACTCTTTCCCAAATTTGCATTTCTGGCAGCCCTGCTCAGTGAAATTTTCAGTTATCAGTTTGGTGTAATCTAAATGACTGACCACATGAATTTTTTTAGCTACCATCCAAAATGACAGAAGAAAATGTTCAGGACACAACTGTTAGGTCTTGAGAAAATTATAATCCGCCTATGCAGCATTGATCTGCAACAGCTCATTTTATAAATAGTGGCTACAAGGAAAACATTGTCAGTTTGAACCTGTGGGTGGTATCTGTATTAATGCCAGTTCCTGCTAATTAGCTGAACTGCAAGCATTTGCATTGGCTCCTTGCCCTCTCGTTCTTAGGGATGTAAAACACAACAGGATGGATATGTAAAGTGAATTTCTGGTTGAGGTCCCAGTCTTTGTATAACCTACCTTTCAACACTCCTCCATGTTAGAAAAGGCCTCCCTTTACCTTTCCTGCACACCACAGCACCAGTAGCCCATTTCATTTCCATTTTGAGCAATTAGTGATCCCCAAATTGACATCAGTTAAGAGCCTACCTGATATGCATCCCAGCTCCAAGGAAGTGAGATGTGTCCTCAGTTCTCCACTGCAGGTCACTCCACAGGATTCTCTTCTTTTTAGACTGAGCTCTGATTTCAGTGGCTTCTATCTTGTTTCTTGCCTTCTTGCTGACATCAGCACACAGAAAATAATTTTTAGAAGTAGCTAGCCTTGCAGCAGAAACGTGCAAGTCTTGAAGTAGTCAATACCTGATGGCTCTAGAACTGCTACTACAAGTGCACAAGCAGAGGTTCTTTCTGTCTGCCTCTGAAAAGGCTCATGCTATCACATATTTCTGGCTCACAGGTCCTCTGGTTGTTTTTGCTGGAATTAAAGATTTGAAACTTATGAAGACAACACAGTCTGGATTTGAAGGCTTCTATAGAAATGAACACACCACACTTCCTGAAAGGAAGGACAGGATTTTATGTGGAGAGCTCTTCTGCAAGTGGTCATACGGCGAATGCAGAGATCTTGACTTTGACTGCATGTGGTATATATAAAGTTTAATAATATTTATCACCCAATCTTTGATCCCAAAGTCCCTCTAGGCATCGCAGCAGGGTAAGGGCCAGACCTGCAGCTGCCGAGCACCAGCTGCTCCTGTAGGTCTCGGCAGAGGCTCTAAGCATTCAGTACTGGGGCAAAAGGCAATCCCTGGGGCTAAATCAGCTTCCGTTTCCAATGGTCGACCGGACAGCAGGATTTAAATGGACAGTCTGTAGCTCAATTCAGAACACTTTAAGAGAACAGCTTCACAACTCATTTGTTAAATATTTTTAACAAAATATTTGCTGGCAAGTATAGAGTTTGCAAGAGAGGAACTGGGAGGAGACAAGACAAATACACTGATCTTCTGTGAAATCTCATATGCTTTTTCTGACAAACCTGTCAGAAAAGACAGAGAAAAGCAGAAATGAGCACAGTAAAATATGATGAATCTGGACAGAAGTTTTGTAAGAACGTGTTTTATCTCTAGGGCCAAAGTCCGGGAATGCATCCTTGAGGCCTTTTCAGGGCCACCTAACTGTGGGGAATATTCACCCTCTTACCAGAAGACCATCAACTGCATCCAGATGTGTGTCCTTTCCCGAGTGTCACAGGTATTGTCTTTCTTTCTGTTGATGTTTTACTTAAACAACAGTGTACATTAATTGTCCTTTGAGAGGACCAAAATGAACCTATCTCCTCTAGGAGTTCTAAGATGGAACTGTTTGGTGGTACAGCTAGATGGTCTGAAAAACTATAAATGCTCTCACAAGTTCAGTCCTGAGAATTTCTGCTTATTAGCTATGACCATCATGGGGGAGAACACTGCTTTATGCTTGATAGGATATGACTAAGGGTGAAAGGAACACTGCAACAGTGGCCATACATTCAATAGAATGCATTGATCAGCTGTACATATTTTGGAGAAAGAAGGTGTTGCTCTGTTTTTCTTCACACTGAGGGAAAACATCATAGGCTGTTGGCTGAGAAATGTTATGATTCACTGCTCTGTTTTCATATTTTCAGGTACAGATCATAGAAGTCATCCTGAACAACACTTTTTATAATGTGGTAGACATGAAGGCACTAGGCTGTACCAATGACAAAGAAGTAAGTAAATGCTCCAATTTGCCAGAATTGCTCTATAAACACGCAGCCATAAAGCACAGCAGCATCTCTGCATAGAAAACAGAGTTAAAGGGAGCAAATTCCTCCCCACCCCCCGCCCCTGTAAGCTCTACCTTACTGTTAAAGGAGCTCTACACTAACTACAAGAGAAAAATGATTGCCTTCTTATGTTGCTAAGCACAGGAAAATGCTTTGGAGATCAGAAAGATCCGTAACAGATGTCTGAAAGAAATCATTCATTTTTACTGCATTACGATTTTAGTGATAATATCAACTTGTGCAGTTTTAACCAAGTAGAATTAGTCTCATCATCCTTTCACATGACCTGGCAATTTGAAATGCCAGTACAATATGGCTCTTCTTTCTACTCCATTGGCAGCACTGCTGAGGCCAGTGAGGATCCTTGGTGCTGTGAGGTCACAAGCAGGTTAGCCAAAGCCATAGACTTTATCTCTAGATGACAGAAGACCAGCACTCTAAGACAGCAATGAAGGAATTGTTCCGTAGTCATTAGGAGCCAAAGCAGGCTGGTCCAGCAGTGGACAAGGTATATAAACTAAGTTACATATATTATAGTAAATTATATAAATATTATATATTATATATATTATATATGTAAACTTAACATCAAGCAGAATGACAGACAGAGCGGCTGCAATGTATTTTCTCCTTCTTCCACAGCTGTTGGTTTCCAGCTTTAGCTGTTGGACAGGTTCAGCTGAAAGTTTGTTCTGTTATCCTCACTTGACAGAGAGAAACTTGGTTACTTCATATTGCAGTTGTTGTTTTGACTGATCAACGGTCCATAGGCTGTTTACACTCTGGCCTTCCTTTCAAATCATGATTATCCTGCCACCCTATACTACCTTTGGCCTCTTGCAGGAACATTATAAAGCTACTTCCATCTGAGATGACAAAATCTACCATTGAGGTCCAGAAGGGATGTAATGGACCAACACATGATTTTGAAAGGAGGAGAATAGATGCAGTTTCTTCTGTGATGGTAATGACAGGTCCTTGTCTCAGGCATGACTCTGTATTCCTTCTCCACAGGTTCTGGTTCCAGTAGAAACTCCCTATGGTTCCTGTGCTTGCACGGTTGGCAGAAAGAAGTACTTAGAAGCACAAAGCCACATGATGAAAGATGAGAAGCAAAGTCAGTTTGGACTGGTAGCTACTCAGGGAAAGTAAACCTCTTGGCTTCCTGTGTACATTCCTGATAAACTTGCAGTATGGCTTTCCTATATACTTACTACTGGCCTCTTTCATGCTGACTACTTTCCACTCAGTGAACTCCTAGATTGGGATTTCTAAATCCTCAGAAATTCAGATAACAAAGTATCTCCCTGGAACTCAGTGTGATTTGCAGACTGAAATCCCAGCTGGAAACATTATACTCAATTTTTAAATCAGCTATTCCCAGATTTAATGAATTTTATAATCTTTAACATGTTTTTGACACACAAAATAAGCCATTTTGTATATTGTCTATTCATATTCCTTCAGTAAAATGAATATACAGACACAATACCAGATGTCTCACTTATGTAACCTGTGCCAACCCCTTGATGCCACAATGACCTAGAGAGTTGAAGTTCTGATCCGACAACCGAGTGGGGAATCAGTCAGACACTGATTTCTTTGTGAAGGAAATAATAAAAAAATAAAAATCTAACATATCTTCTGTATAGCATGTCTAGTTACAGCTGTTTACTAATTTCTCTGCATACGTTTTGGTTGCATGGCTGCTGCTGCTATTCATGAGAATATACAGTTACTTTATAATTACTTTTATATTAATCATTGAGGTGTTTGAGGATTTGGGCTATCTCTGTAATTTTAATTAAATAGGTTTCTTTGGTCTAATAATCTCACCATGACTTCTGAGCAGGCACAAATCAACCTAAGTAACCCTATTATTCTTAGGAAGAGGCAGAAATACAGGATGCATTGAGATAAAACTGCAGAACCAGCAATTCTCATCTCAGAAATGGCAGCTACCACATTTGCAATAGAAATCCTGCTCAACTTCTAATAGCTTCTAACCACTGCTTTCATTTTCTCCAAGTTTCACTGTCACAGAATTCCATGTGACAGAGACAGCAAATCCAATTGGAAGTGCCCTAAGTTATGTCTGAAAACTGCAAATTGGTTGCCTTCGTGCCTCCTCAGCATTTCTCGGAGTACAGAGGGTCAGAAATACTGAAAATGAAGAACATGTCCTGCACCATACTCCATGACAGGAACTTGCCTTGATGAACAAGATTAACAGTTGTAAAGGGAAGGCGCTGTTCACAATTCTGAGACAGCACCTCAGAAACAACAGAACAAATGATACCACAGATCTGCTGTTCTTTGGTCACTTGTTGATTCTGAAAGCTTCATTAGTGACACTGGTTTTTTTTGCTGGGGTTTTGCTGGGGATGTGTATTCTTACCTTGTTTGACTTGATTTGTATTGTACTTGTGGGCTTGGGCTTATATCTTGCTACTTCTTCTATGTTAGGTGCTTATAATTTATTAATTTATCTTTCAAAAGCAAATAAAGAGCAATATAAAAAACCAAACAAATCAGAATTTGACTCTTCATAAGAAATAAAACAATTTCCTACTTGCATATACATATAAACTCTGTATGGAATGATATTTTAGTTCAGACAATTTTACTTCAAAAAGTGATCAGCATTGCTTCAAATGACAGTTCACTACCAATTGATAAAAACAAAAGGAAAAAAAGGTTCATACTGCACATCTCAATCTTTACCCCTTTCTAAGCAAAGCAGATTATTTATTCTGCTCTTCACAACCAACTTTCCTTCTACCTGATAAGAAATGAGTTGCACTGAGTGGAAGGTTGTTTGTCATTGCTATTAGTGCTTCATCTGTGGGCTTACAAAGTAATAATGGATTAACCTTCATGGCAGAACAAGGATGCAAAGAAGCAACTAGTTGTTGATTTAAATTATTCTCTGGCTAAAAGCACATACACACTCTTGTAATGTGGTTTCTATAGACCTCCGCACACACGGACCCACAGCAGTCCTTACAGACATCTCAGCACAGCCCCATCCAGCAGTGCAAAACCTGAGTCATGCATATGGACATATTCCTTCCAATGTAAGTATTTAGACAATAGGAAGAAGCCCAAATCTTCTACACGAAAACTAGAATCAGATCACAACGGGATAAGTCATACCTGAAAATGGGACTTAGCCACATTATTTGGGCCCAATCCCTGATCAAATTCCTTTTTATCTTCACAGAATCACACAGAATGGCCAGGGTTGGAAGGGACCTCAAGGATCATGAATTTCAAACCCACCTGCCACATGCAGGGCCAGCAACCTCCCCATTTAATACTAGACCAGGCTGCCCAGGGCCCCATCCAATCTGGCCTTGAACATTTCTAGGGATGGGGCATCCACAACCTCTCTGGGTAGCATGTTTCAGCACCTCAGTGCTCTCATAGTAAAGAACTTCCCCCTAATATCCAACCTAAATCTTCCCTCCCTCAACTTACAACCATTTCTCCTTTCATCTTAAAACCATTTCTACCTTCTTTAGATTTGGTCTCCATGATGGTCAGTGAATAGGAGGATCTTGGCTGTAGTATGTCTCCCTGTTCCTGTGCTGACTGGCAGCAGGGCAGGGGTTTTGATTGTTGCTTTGCTCCTTCATGCTGCCTCCAGGAAGTGGAGGACTCTCTAAATCATTCATTCAGTGTGAAAGCAAGGAGACTTGCAGCACTGAGACTACTATCATTCTCACACCCAGTATCAGCTGAGCAGTCAGACACTGGGCACCCAAAGCACGAGGCTGGCTTTTAACCAGGACCCCTGCATAGCTCTGCCACTATTAGAACCACAGTTCTGACATGGTATCCAGTACTGCCCATCAGTTGTTTTCTCATCTCAACAGCAGCTGTGTTTTCTGGAAGACGAATGGTAGCTAAAAATAATCTGGCTTTTACTTCCTCTTTCAGACTCTCCAGTCTCTTTTGAAAAGATTTTACCTTTCTCTCACAGAAACAGCAAGGAGTATGTAATGGACAAAATCAGGACAGTCACTTACACAAAGAGAATCAAAGAATTGCAGGGATTGGAAAGGGTCTCTAGAGATCATCTAGCCCAACCCCCAGGTTCCTAGCATAGATTGCAGAGACAAATATCCAGGAGGGTTCTGAATATCTCCAGAGAAGGAGACTTCACAACCTCACTGGGCAGTATTAGAAAGCTCAGAGAGCAGTAGGAAACCACAACAAAGATCAGGAAAAAAAAATGGTTATAGTTCAGAATACTCAAACTCCCTTCCGTGCTTGCACTGAGCTTTCTGTAAGATCTCTACTTGTATGAACCAGTTCACAGTATTGATCAAGAGAAGAATACAATCTGGATGGTTTTTAATCCAATTCACTTACTCACTAAAACATGTTAAAAGAAAGCACAGTACTCAGTAATCACCATATATATGTCATATTTATTGTCCTTTTCCTTTTCTCTATCTTAGTAAATAGTTTTATCTCAAGCCACAAGTTTGTTGGTTTTTTTTTTTGTTTTTTTTTTCCCAATTCTCTCTTCCATCCCATCGGAAAGAGGGGAGTGAGCAAATGACTGTGTGGTGCTCAGCCACCTGCTGGGTTAAACCACAGCAGTCATTAAAACACATTAAAAGAAAGCACAGTACTCAGTAATCACCAAATGAGTCCTCACAGCTGTACAGCAAAGATTTTTACTTCCTGATGGAATGAACATCTTTTAATTTGATATCATCCACAGATCTAAAAAAAAAAAAAAAAACCAAAAAAAACCCAAACATTCAAATGGAGGAGGAAAAGGGAATATTTAGTTCATCCTTTGGTAAGGTAGCATGATGTATTCCACTCCAACAATTCTACAAATTCAGGGCAGGTAGGAATCTCCAGACAGCTACAGGCAACTGCTTCACATAATCCTTCCCATAAGTAGATCTAATTCTGTATTAAATAATTAGAGAAATTTTATGTGTAATTTTTCAGCTGAAGCCTCTGACTGGCCTGATACAGCCTGTACCTGAAAATTCCCCAGGGCAGGGATGATTCTCTCTACTTGATTGAAGTCTTCCAGAAGATCTCTATTCCCAGTAGGTATCCCTGGCTGCTACCAAACTATAAACAATAAAATTGTAACTAGAATTCAGACTGTGACCTACAAACTTGCTAACAAACAGATACTTAAAGAGAGCACAGTTCTCTGAGGGAAAGGAAGAGAAATGGTTAATACACCCCAGAATCCTATCACACATCTAAATAAATGTTTTACAGTGTAAAGGTTAGGAACTATACAAGAAAGCATGCTGCTGTATAGTCTATCTATCATAGCACACACCATGAGTTTTACCCATAGAGCAGATACACATGTGGCTTTATCCCCTTCCAAATGGCAATACTAGAAATATAAGCAACTCTCCTATCACTGTAGCATCCACAGCTACCTTGCACTTGACCAAATCATAGTGAAGGCAGGACACCTACCTAAGGCAGGAGATTACAGGAACTTCTCTTTCCTGTCACAGAATGCTGTCCCCACTTGGCTGAAATCACCACACCCCTACTCTCTCCCTTCTAATCCCATCACAACTGCCTCCCAAACCATATTCACTTTTAGCACACACTCCCACTTATTTCCTGCTTCCTAGCTCATCTGCTCAGTCTCACTTATGCAACTCCACATCCCATTTTAGAGGTCATCACAAAGCTCTCTGGGCCAGAGAAGATGACAAGCCTGGACAGTGCTAAGCAGTACCTGTACGTTATCGCCCAGGCACTGAGGGATAATTCACTCTGCTGTAGCGGTGCCAGCACAGCACCTCTGCACCACTGACAGCTCTAAAGAAGGGTAAGAGAAGTACAGATGTTACTGGTGAACATCACCAATGCTTCAAATTCTCTCCTTCAGCAGTATGTAACACTAGATAAGAAAAAGCAAAAATAAAGTCTTTAAATATCTTGGTAGGTGGCGTTAAAAGTAATCACAGGAGCAAAGAATATGCAGAAGGTTTTGGTACTGTTTTAATTGAGAAGTGGAAAAAAATAATAATCAGGAAAACCAATATAACATAATAAAGAAACAAAGTAAAAAGATCTATAAAGTAAACCGAGTTCAAACATAAGCAATGCTTTATTGGGTTATAGCAAGCAACCTATCAAGGAAGGAACTGGTACAAACAGATTGAACAAGACTCTCTTTTAACAGAGATGTATGGTGACAAGACAGTTTCTTTCAGTTTTTAAAACAAGTATTCAAACTATTAAGTAAAGCATTAAAAAAAAATAAACCATTACAACACCAATGACAGACAATATTAAAAATGTGCAGGTTTGTTTAACAAATTTCTGCATAATGTTAGAAAACAAGTTATCATAAATTAAAAAAGAATGATCTATTTCTTTTGCTTGCAAAGCAACACAAACTTTAAAAACCAACTATACTTTACATAGAGCTACCGTTAAAAACAGGTGAAAACAAGCTGAAAATTTAAAGGACAGCAAAAAATACACAACCCAGTTTCACCTGTCAGCAACACCTTCTGCTATCGAAGGGGTTATGTTATTTTATGTACAGCTTTAAACATCGCGGCATACCACAAATAAACCTTAATAAGGTCAAAATAGGACCCTCTGCAAAAAAGGGTGAGTTGGCAAATGTCAGTCCCATCCCAGAATTACAAGTAGTAATAGTTTTAGTAGGTTTTTATTGTACACCAGAAGATACTTCCAACGGTTTATCTCTCCCAAAGATGCACGTAAACTTTATTTTTCTTCTGTTTGTTTGATTTTTTGGTATTTAAATAATGATATTAAGAACAAGTCTGGCTCAAAAATGAGAATGACATACCTCCCTTTTGTTCTGGATACAGTGATGTAGCTATTTCAACATGCTCACTGACAAACCCTAAAAGAGAAAATCATTATGCACTATGTGAAAAATACACACCACCTCTCTCAATTCAGACTCAGTATACATTATATTGCCAACTCTATCCAATAGGATAAATATCTAAATTTGGTTTAAATTCTTAATATATTCTCTCTTTACAAAGTTCCATCACATGAAACCAAATTGCTTATTTACTGTTTGAGGCACAACATGACCCCAATTAGACAATTCGCTATAAAGAGTTGTTCTTTAGATGTTGTGTCTGTAGAGGTTTTACGTGATATTCATAGATTTTCAGCGCAGGCCCCAGTTTTAATGAAAGTCCAGTCAGTACATCATTTCTTGTCATCAACAGTAATGATTTGCCATCAATTTCCTATAAGAAGAATTAAAGAATTGATAAAGAAAACGTACAAATCTAATAGCTGAGAACAATCATGCAACAAATGGAAGACTACTACAGAGGATCAGTGAGAAAAGAAATAGTAGCCTTTTATTTTTCTGAAATAATTGTTCGTAGCTGCTAACATCTGCTGTTTGGTTTTTCAAGTGCTCAACTGTGCTGACTAATGCATAAATACTATTTAGTCAAGCACAAAAATCAGCCTCATTTCAAAATTCCCTCCTTGTACATCTGTTTGAAATTAATAGGTACATGTTCAGCTTGCCTAACTAACGTTAAGCCATTAAGCAAAGGACACACTAAGGGAGAAGGCAGTGAAATGTGTTTCAAAATTATCACTGACAGCAGTGTGCAAGTTTGGACTAGTCAGTACCTGCTAACAACTTCAGGTGACTGCTTTAAATGGCCAACTTCCCACATACCCTGCAGAGAAAAGGAGACTCCTATGATCAGAACTTTTACGAGGATCCAACTGCAGAGCTCAGCACTCCAAAGAAAACTCCTTCAGCTACAGTGGAAAAGGCAGCACCTTCCCAGGCTGAATCTCCACAATGGCTACACTTTTAAATCATAGGGTTTTCATTCTTTTCTCTTTTTTTTTTCCTTTATGCTTTTCTTTTTTCTTTTTTTTTTTTTTTTGGGGGGGGGGGGCTCTCAAATCTTTGCTTTCTAACCTATTTTGATTAGAAATCCTACAGGCTTTTTTTTCTCCCCCATCTGATAATCTTGTCATATGTTTGCAAATTAACTGTAAATGACTCTCCATACATCAAAAAGCAAAAAGAATCCCTATCTCACAACTCCCACCCCTGTTTCAGACACTTGACCATTCTTTTATTTATGCTGTCACAGTTCAATCACTGTGCTACCCATGAAACAAGCTACATCTACAAAGCAATGCATTGACTGGGGCCTCACAAGGTCATCACAGCCCAAAGTCCTTAATGTTAGGATGTTCTCTTGCACTGGACTTCACTTTGCTGCATTCTTTTTTACTTTTAATTAAAAAAAACAAATTTGAATTTGGCATCAATAGCTGACAAGTTCATATGCCTGCATATATTATTGTCGCCCATTGCTCTATAGTACCACAATTTTGTGTTTTTATAAATACCATAGATAAATACCACACATAAAACAGTTCCACTGCAGTATCTTTCTTACAAATATTAAATATTGTTTTGGAGATGTTACTGATCATATTTTTTGTTACAATTTAACATGAAAAAATGACAAAGAAGGCACATTAGATTCAATAGTAGCTTGACTGGACTGATCTCTCTCATGATTTGATTAAAAATACAAGATTGATGGAAAAAGCATACTATAACCAAATATCCACTGAAAGTGGAATCTCTTTAAAACCTCACCAAGAGATATAACTGCTAATCCCTCCAGAAGAGCACAGTGTAACAGTATTTCTGAAAAAATCACATTTCCAGTAACTTTTTACCCAATTATAACAGGTACCTCCTTCCAATTTCTGTTGAGAATGTTAATAGTTAAAAACAGTTGATATTTTCTTGTTTCCATTTGTCACAATTCTTTTTGTGGAAATTCTGACACCACTGAGTATTTTGCTCATTGATATGACTGATCTGAAGTTGCCTTTTCCACTGCCGTTCAATGACGTTATGGAGTAAGAACAACCTCCAGCTTGGAGGGATCCAGATGAAGAAAATCCAGTACCTGGAACAGGAGAAACTCCATGAATAGGTAGAGAGAATTTATTTCCTTTTTCCTTCTTCTTCCACAGGGTTCCCCGTGGATTTAAGAAATGCTGGGAAGTAGATCATCTAAGGATTTAATTGAATAGAAAACTGATCCTCTAAGCTTACCTGGGTAGGAATGAGTAAATATATATTAAAATTCCAGTGTGTTACATCTCTATGTCTATCTTATGGTTTACTTTCACCTCTTTTTGTTTTCTTTCCCCTGCTTCCATAGATTTGCCATTGTCATTCCACTTTTTGGCATCAGGTAAGACTTTGTGTGCTTTGGAGACTTCTGTGAAATTCTTCTCTGCTACTCCACTATTTTCAGGATATTTTTCAGGATGCAACGTCAATGCCAGCTTTTGGCATGCCCTTCTAGTGCCATCTAGAGAGGCATCCCTCTGCACATCTAGAGCTAACAGTAGTTCCTTAGCTGCAATAGTCAATTTATTGTCTTCAGCAAATCCCCATGTGACCAGTCAAGAATCAAGTCTGCTCTTTTTCCAAGTGACTGAGAACTGCAACGTTCTACATCACAGCTGACAAGAAAGTATACCAGCCAGCATGCCCACGTGCTCCTCCTCCATGCCGTGAATCTGCTAGAAAACGGCAGCAGATACCAGTTAATATCAAACCTGTTTCCCTTTTGGTAAGGCACTGTAGCAAGGGCCAGCAAACTACCACTGAGTTCCTTAGACTGAGCTGCATAACACAATACTAATGGTAAGAAGTTGCGTGGCAGTAGTGAAGGTCAAGCATTGCACTACCACATCTCAGGACACGTCATAAGGATTCCATTTCCAAGCAAGCCAAAGCCCCCTGTGCTCCCAAGGCTCCTGGAGAAATCTCAGCCATGTACTTGCAGATAACAGTTCTCACTGTCACACATATCTGGTCTGCCACTCTCTTCAGTGATCCTCTGTGCCCAACTTCTTGGCTTGCCTGGAAAAATTTGCTTGATGTTATTGTTTTGGATATTGGGCAACATCTTCCAGTTGAATCTTTTCAGAGAGCTCTTACAGCTTGCTGACATCAATGGAACTCCAAGAAGGAATAAGGTATAACCATCATGTACTCATCATGCCCTATCAGCACTTACAATACAGTTACTAAAAACATTCTGTAGTCCTTAAAATGTTTTTTTCATTTTCCTTTGAAAGTATAAGAAAAAAAATCACATCTTACAAAATCCTTGGAGTCACTTGCGTCATGTGAGTCCAGATTTAGATTCATTAGAAGTGTGGACTTAGTTACTGTTACGTAGAAGCTGAACATACTAATATTTCTTGAGATTACATTTCGAACTATGGATGTCTTGCAAGAAAATCGTTGTGCTAACCCTTCTGAAACAGTTCAGTGGAAAACAATTTCTCAGTGTTGTAGGTGAATTAGGATACTTCCCTTTACCACTTACAGCCTTGTTCCCTTCCAGTATATATCCATTGCAGTGGCAGATCAAACAAATTTCAGATTCTGAGACCCAGACAAGCTGCAGAACAAATGGCATTTAAAACCAGAGATGGCCACAGTTTCAGCTGCCATACCTGGGGAGCCTGTGAGATCCTGATAACAAATACCATAAGTATACAGAGTTAAAATTAGCGTCTTCTAAACAATGCAGAGGAAACAAAACAACACTGCTGTTAAGAGGATAGAGAGAGAATTGTTCCTAAAGCAGACAGGGAAGGGTCAGTTCTTGCCTGCTCTCTATGCTGCTAATTGAATAGAAGCGGAAGGGAGTGGCAATCATTTCCACCTCAAATGTCCATGTCACATCTCTGGCTATATCTTGGTGGCACCTGTCAGCTTCTCTCCAAAGTTTTAGCATAAAGTGAAGTTAGTAGCAGAACCAAAACCGTAATTTCTGCCTATGGCACTTACTGCCCATCTAACCTAGCAGAGCCTTGGCAATATGTTGCTAAAAATAAGCTTACTTCATCTTTCCTCCTGAAGCCACTTGCCCTCACTGCAGAATACTAACAAAACCTGTACTTGTCACTTCTACATGCTATTTTCCATCAGGCTGTTGCAAATTGCTTTGCCAGAACTCCTGAGCTAGCCTCACCTTGCTGTTGCAAGATCAGTAGTAATTACTGCAGTATTATTGACAAGCCAGCTGGTGTGTAGAGAGGTTAAGGCACGTAATGAAAGTCAGAAGTATCTATCAGAATAAGGAAAAAACCCAGAGGCTGCAATTACTTGGCTTGTGTTTTTTTGTGTGTCATGTTTCCAGGGTTGTTGAGGAAACATGAATGCTGGTATTAAGGAGTTGATAAACTTAGGCTTTTTTTATTTGTTTACACATCTTCAAATTCTCAAAAATTATTAGCAGCTGCAGCAAAAATCTCTCTGCCTTCTGCCAGAAAATTAGCCAGTACCAGGCTTTTCACCTCCCAGAACAAAGAGCTAAATTTAGATACTTCTTTATACTCATCAGTTCCAATTGGATGGGACTTCATAGCCCAGGTGCAGAAGGTCAGCAAGATTATTCTGATCAACTCTATTTCAGTTTAGATGTACTGTTCTCTAGCAAAGTTGACCGTATCTTACTCTGGCTCAGGCCTTGGAAAGTCAAGCCATCCATTTTAGTAACTAAACAAAAATGTTCATGGAATAAATCACAGAAGGGTTTGGGTTGGAAGAGATCTTACAAGATCACCTAGAGTTCCAGCCCCTCAGCTGTGGGCAGGGTAACCTTTCACTAGACCAAGTTACCCAAAGCCCCATCCAAATTATCATGACAATTAATTTCCTGGTATTTGCACACAAACCTACTATTTATTACAGAATGTGCTGAACTGACAATCTGCAGATTTAAGATCCGTCTCTATGGAACAAGCGAACCACAAGTCAAGTAAGCAAACACCCCTATCCTTCCTCACTAATGCACTTTAACAGTGTGTTGATAGGTGAGTTACCAAGTAGCTATATGACAGCTATTCTTTTTGCAAAACTGCCAAAAGCAGCTATTCATTGCATCAGAAAGTGTGTTCATAATGTAGGTACTTGTTATACTGAGACTAACGCCATATACTGAAGCTAACTCTGGAGTCAATATCACAAAGGCTAAAGTTGTAACAATGATTTCTGAACTTGATTCATGCTCCCACAATTGTTTTTTCTGTGGAAAGCAGTCCATGGCTGTCCCTTTAACTGATTTTCCTCCAGTAGCCCTTCCTTGTCATATAAAGGCTGATGGAAAATTCTCCAGCTCACAGCTTTTGCTCAGTTCAAGGATCTAAACTCTCCAGGTCTTCCTGATGCTTACAACCACCCATCTGCAAGCCCCAATCTCTTCATCAGATTGGAAGTCCTACAAACATGCCGCTCCTGTGAAAAGATTATTCCCCTTAATTGCCAACTTACTCTTTCCCTGTTCACATGTATTGTCTAGTTCAATGGAACTCAGTAGCCCTTTTCATTTTCAAAATTCAAAAGCAATTATTGTGTTAGGAACCTTGGATTTTACAAGTACTCATGAGAGTATTTGCACAGTATACTTAGGAAGAAGGAAATTACCATCCGCATTTTAAACCAGTCCAAGTGAGAAAACTTGTTTAGATTCCTCACCTTTCAGATGACATTTCAAACATACTTCATCCCGTTATGTGGATCCTGTAACATGACAATCTTCAACTCCCACAGGTTTTCATCCAATAACATACCCAATCACCTAATGTGGGATTTTTCCATTTAACAAGGTATCACTGGGTCCATGGCAAAAACGTGCAATGGGAGAAGGTGGTGGCAATCAGAGTGTTTCCTAGCAGACTTACCTGTTCTTGGAAAGCACTGGCTTGTTCTTCAAATCCAGCTGTCCTGAAATAATTCACAACATCTATAACAGCCCAGTCAGCAGGATCTGGAGGTCTCCCGTTTTCTACTGAACTGCAATATACAAACCCAAACAAATAATCATTACTTGTCTGTACAGTGCCTGCTGCTTCTTTGTAGACAACCCATGTATGTTCCCTTCTCTGTTCCTCCAGGAATAGTACCCCTCAACACACCTGACACCATTCCAATAGAGAAGAATTACTGCTTTTCTGTTCTGTTTCAAAGACCTGATACCAGGGATAAGTGACATACTCCTCCCTTCAGAAAAGAAGTATATGAATATTCACATCAGCCAAAGGCAGTCAATCAGGAGCTTTGCCTGTGAGTGTGCTGCCTTTGCAGAACAGAGGCTACCTCTGTAGTTTGCTTTCAGCTATCAAAAATTCATATAGAATTGCAGTATGCAGATTACTCTTCTCCAAGATCAGATTGTGCTATATTGTAACAGGGGTAACAGTACTGGAAACTATCTTTAGCTCATAAAACAAGAAAATAGAGGCACCAGTGATTGCATTAATTGCTCAATATAGGGAATCCTTCAAAATTTCTTTTTGACTTGACTTTGGAGAAATCCAGGGACTTTCTGAACTAAGAATGCAAGAAAATATCTGTTCAACACAATCAGAACAGATTCTATGATTGACTTTAAGCAATTACTTTCCACAGTAGTAAGACCAACCAATCACTCACGTTGCTACTCTAACACTGCATTTCTTATCCTCAGCCTGCCATCATATTATCTCAGATAACATTTGTGTATCCGCAAACTCTTTGTGAAACTCATGAGCTTGACTGCCTGCCCTACAGCAATGTAGTAGGATGAAGAACAAGATGTCATTCAATAGAAAATAAACTTGGACAACACGCTTCTCCAACTAGATGTCCCATGCTTACAGGCCAGATGTTTTTCATTGTCCTGCATGCTTAATCATAATGTTAATAAAGAAATTACAAAACCATACAGATAGAGTACCAGATGGAAAGCAAACTTAGATTATACTCCTCTGACAAAGTTTTTGCTCAGTCCTTCAAATTTTCCTTTTCCAGTGTTCACCACCTCTGCTCCTTCTAGACTTGTATGTCTTTCAGCAGACTCACTGGGTGAATGAAGGGCCAATCATTTTTTTTAAAACCAGCCATGAAGAGATGAAAGTAGAATCACACCAGGTACTTTAGATCACCGTTTCTACAACATTTCTATGACCACATGAACATGGTGAGCATGATTTTTATTTCTCCCTTAATTCTTGAAACACACTTGTCAATATGACAACAAAATTCTGGCTCTAGAGACTCACAATGCAGCCTCAATATCACACTGTATGTTGTAGTTGACCTTTTAAAAGCAGTCTCTTTAAATTATCACACAGTATATACATATTTCAGCAGAAGGAGCAAAGGCCAGAGTTTCTTGCTCTTGCTCATAAAGTAACAACTTTATGAACTGTTCTGCTGATTGGGATTGCAGAGAAAGGCAACACTCAGCAAAATTTTAAATGAGACTATCCAACTTTATCAGAGTTGCACCTGAAGTTTTTTTTTTTTGGTGTGTGCACATTCTGAGGCTTAAGAAGTAAAATGCTGTGAAAAGCACCATACAAAAATCTATGCATATTTGTAGAACCAAGATTTGAAGACTTATATACGTATATGGATTTCCCCCCAACACAGATACTTGCAATGACACATCTTTAACTAAAAATTAAAAATAAACTAAACCCCCAAAAACTCAGTATTAAAAAAAAAAGCTAAAAGAACTATATAATTATTCCTAAACAGTAAATGAAAGACTCAATCTGTCAAAATACTTAACCGAATTTTGCTTACTTTCCAAAGCATTTTCATTTCAAGTTGACTATGATCCCCCCACAATGTATTTCATCCCAAGTGTATTGGTTCTTCATACAGCTCTTCTTTTACTGCTAGGGAACATAGCGCTTGGTCTAGTCTCATCCTAGGCCCAACTGAAACATCTTCAAGGGCTCCACCTTAGTCATTCCTAACCCCAGGAATAATGGCAAGTTCCTAATTGGAATAGCATCATGTCGGATCTCAAGTAGAGTCCATTTCCACAGCTACAGCTGCAATAAACTCACAGGCATGTGGCATACCATCAGGGGCTGGCTGGATTTTAAATCATCTACCCACACAGATGCTCATTTGGCTTCTAGACAGCCTTCTCCTTGCCCTGCTGTTGCACACGGCTCTATTCTTTAAACAGAAAAGGGAATATATAAGAGCCACTGTTTAGCCATTCTGGATGCCCTAAAAACTTAAGAGAGCGAGTATGTTAGGCTTTATAATCAGATGCTAGGTGTGCTAACAATGAATAAAGATTTGACTTGTCTTCTGTTTGCCACTGTCCCTGTACCTTTATTGCCATCATGTGGCCGAAACAGTAAGGCCTGGAAAAATATAACTGTGAACAAACAGATTTTATCCAAGCTATTTATAACCACTTCAAGGAAGCACCAAATACTTCCTTAGTACTATATATTTTTCTTTAGAAACCACAGCTTATGCTCTGTTTAATTATAATCACTACCAGATTTAAAAAGCCACCACTGCGATTAGTAGTTGAGTCTTTATCACCTAAGCGTTGGGAGAAAGTGAGTAAATGTAAACTGTCCTTGTTTTCACTGCTTCCCTTCTTGCCTCTGCCATGGAGTCTCAGGTGCAGAAGAAAAATGGGTAACTGAAGGTGGATTCTGAGATGCATAATCTATGCATAGTCACTTAACAGGGAAACACTTTTTACTTTGGTGTAGTATAGCCAGAGTCTTAAATTAATGGGGAAGATACAAATTTTATTGGCTACCAGCAGATCTTTTGATGCTGTATCATAATCATGCATTTCAACAGTATCCTGAAGAGACCATTATTATTGTTGTTGTTGTTATTTACATTATTTGGTGCTGGGAAACCTAAGCATCATCACATTTTCATGGACAACTTCTGGCAAAGAGACCTGAAAGACAAGAATGAGGTGCAGCTTCATAGCAGTGCTGCAGTCTGAGAGGACAGGTGATAAGCTCTCTGTAGTTCCCTTCTCTGTGTTACTTACCAACAGAGTATCTATAAGCCTAACAGAACATGGCTGTTTATCCCACACAGAACTTCAGTTTTCAGACAGTAAGTTAGATTAGGACTAGTGATCTTAACTGAAGAACTGATGACCTTCAAAGATAAAGAAATACCTCTAAAACAGTTCCTATCCCTTAGCCTGCAGCCCACCACACTGAAGAAAACTGCAGAGCTGTGTACATCATGTCTTTCTTTCCCTTATTTCCACCATAGGTATGAAGAAGGAATCTGTTTAGAGCTTCTCCAGCAAACAGCTTAAAATATCTGCTTCAGAAGGGACACCAGGGACACATGATGCTTCTCAGCTTAGGATGGCTGGGCAGTCAGCAGGGAGATAAAAAGAATGGGAGGAGACATATATATGGGACACTTCTCCCCATCAGGCATTCGTTCTAGAAAGCACAGTCACCACAGGCACCATTTGCTGCTTTGACTTTTCCAAGTCCTTCCTCAGGAATTTCACCTCATCAGTCAGTGTGGATGGTGAGAGGAGCTTTCCCCACAACAGCAAACAGATGAACATGGGCAGAGAATTGGTTGCTGTGCTACCACTTGCTTCGGTCTCTAGCTGAGATAAGAAAACAATGGAAAAAGGAATACTACCAACTCATTAGCTTCCGCACTTCTCCATTGCTGTACTATCCTCCTGCATACCACTTTAAATCACTTCAGTGCCCTAGATTCTTTTATTTCAAAGTAGAAATGCAATAAAACTAATTGAGAATATAGATTGGTAGAAATAAGAAAAGATAGAGGTCCCCACCCTTGCCAACCATATTAAGTCAATAGAAAAATACAATCAAAATTCACATGCTGTTTGCATAAACCAAACTCTAAGGAATCACTTACTTTTTGACATCCAGAGAACCATTTTCCTTGTTTTCCATGTCAACAGTTCGCATAGAGAAGAGAGGTTTCCTCAGCAGCTACCAACAGGAAAAAAGCTGCGTTTAGTTACTAGTAGTATGAAAAGAACAACATGACACAACAGAAATAAGTATTCTTAGAGATGCAACTTTTTCCATCTGAGAGTAAAGTGCTGTAGAAGACCACTTCCCTCATAACCTTGGCAAAGCTGGTAGTAACTAATGAATTAGGAAAAGTTTGTCTGTGCTTTGAACACAGGAAATCCCATCTACCTTGATTTTCAGTCTTGAAGCATTACATATGATCCTTTTTTAAACTAATACAATCTTGATCTAAACTACGTAGAGAAAGACCAGCCTGCAACATGTCTATGACCGGACACTGAGCGTGCTCTCAGTGCCTTCAGTCACCCCGAACAGAAGCATGACCCTACTGCTAGCGAGGCTTGGAAATCTACGCCCTTGTTTTATAAATGGGGATCTGAAACCCCGATGAGAAATGCGATTTCTACCCCAGTCACAAACCAGCTGGCAAGGCGAGTCACTGAACGAGTCCAAAACTCCTGAGGCCTAATTGTGCACCTTCTCCACCAGCCCGTCCTTCCTGCGCTTTGCACTGCTGCCTCTACGCACACTGAGCTCGGAGGGGGGAAGGACCGCACAAAGGACACGGGAGGAAAGGAAAGCCGGCCCGCCGGCTGCTCCCACCGCCCCAAGGAAGGCACAGAAAGCAGCCCAGCCTCCTCCTTCTGCTCTCAAAGGCATTTCTATGTCGGGGAGCCCCGTAACTACCCACGGGCTCGGGATGTTCCCGCTGTAGGTTAATGGACGCCGGCGGTACGTCTCGGAGCTCGGGGAAGTACAGCACGGGGAAATCGCGCTCCTCAGCTAAAACTTTGCAAAAACAAACGATAGCGATCAATGCCGCTGCGTACAAAAATAAAAGCAAAGGAAGGACCCTTCACGAGCCAATTACCAGCGCCAGAGAGCAGCGCCAAACTGACGGTGAGGATGCTCCTTGCACGCCGAGCCCGGAGCACTCGGCGCAGCCCAGGTGTGGGCGCGCTGACAGCCGCCGGCTGCGGGCCGGGACGGAGCCGCCGCGACCCCGCCCGCACCTGGGGGCTCCCGGCGGGCGCTGCGTGACACGCGCGCACCATCTTACGAGCATCTCCGGCAGGCAGCGTGGCACCACATTGTCATTATTTTTCGTGCGGGAGGGGAAGGGAGGGAGCGGAGCAAGACGGACGGACGGACCTACCTACGGGCAACTACACCGAAGCATGGCTACGCGCTGCTCCGGCGCGGCGGAGCCCCGGCCGCCAGCCCCCCGCCGGCAGCGGGGCGCTCGGAGGCGGCTCCGTGTGGCAGCGGGCAGCGGCCCCGCCTGGCTCCCGGCCCGCGTGACGCCGCCGCCACACACGGCCCCCACCAACCGCCGCCCGCGTCATGGCGGACCATTTAAAGGCGCCGCGCCTACCTGCTGGAGGAGACTGTCTGCCTCCCTGCCTGCCGCCGCGGGGCCGGGCCCTTTCGCTTCCACTGTCCTACCCGCAAGGGTGAGCCAGGCAGTATCAATGGAGCGGGTGGTCGGGGCGGCGAACAACTCCGCAGATAGCTTTGGAAAAGAGCCTCGGGAAATAGGAGGGAAATAGAACAACCGGGCTTTGCAAAATTGGAGAAGTTGCATCGAACTACTTCTGAAATGAGTTTGTCAGTACGTGAGTGGGCAGCGAGCGCTGGGCTGCCTCTCAAACTAGAAACCAGAGCATGGCAGTTGCAGCCCGGGCGCCTCGGGATGTGAGGCCGTGCTCCCACCTGCCCTGCGCATCGCACGCTGCGGTGCTGGGACACGTGCGAGTGCCTGCAGGGTGTGCAGTGCAGCGATGTACAAAGGCCGGTCTGGCCCACTGGAACTAACGTTCCGTCCACTGAGATTAACAGATTTTGTCAATTTTCTCTTGCAATTACATTTTTGTTTCACTCTATTACACACTGGTTATTTCTTTTGCAAAGTTTCCCCAGATTCAAGAGGTTTTCTAGCAGTATAGAAGTATTCCTGCAGATGACGTGCTATCAGTGTGAGCAGTGCTTACCACCACATCCTACCTTGCCCCGCTAAGGCTTTCCAGACCCCTGTGCACGATGCCCCAACGACTGCCTCACCACTCCTAACAGCACCAGTTTGGTATCAGTACAGAAATCATTTTGGTATCGCCCCTAGAAGCAGCTGAGTGCACCCTGTGTTTGCAGACAGGGATCCAAGCCCCAAAATGGCAAACCAGCACAGCAATCGCAGGAAAGGCACAACTGAGCCCATGGGCCTGTAGACACAGTTCCCCCTAAGCATTTCATTTTGCCTTAACCAAACAAATAACCAAAGCATACAAAAACTATGCAAATAATGATAAGAGTGCTGAAAACTAACAGCAGTGTGAGTCCTCACTGCTTTAGATTTTAAACAAACACAGATAAACAAGTCAAATAAAGTATTAAACATACTGCACCCGAAAGAAAATCCTCTTTACCTCAAATCCCAGTGCATATGGTAAAACGTGGCATATTTGCAGTGGACAAGTCACAGAAGGCAATTCTATTTTGTCTCTTGAGAAATAAGCACTCTAAACGAGGCAATAACGAGTTTTCTGCATCAGCTGATTTCTGACTTTGGTAATGAACTGACATTTGAAGCTACAAATATAGACCAGCTTTTTACTCATGCTCTCCCGTGCCTTCCATCATGTTCTCAATTAGTCTTTGGAGCATTCAGCACAGGGCATGCAGCATAAAAGACCTTGAGCAGCAAAGAGAGGAAGTTTAAGAAAACAGACTGTAGAAGAATTCAGTGTGGAATATGATCTGCAGCTCACATTTTCACTCATTAGGGTAAGGTGATTTAATTAAAGTGAGATTATGTCTGGAGGGAGACAATGCAGGAAAGTAAATTAAAGGTTTTGTTTGACTACTTGCGTCCTGCTTCTGGCAAAAACTGTGTCTAGGCCACGTGAGACTGGAGCAGGAGCAGTGCTGGCTGAGCCACGCCAGGAATCAGCCCTGCCTGACTGAATTTCTGCCGCTTCTCAAACGTAGAAGTCAGTGTGGATTATTGTACACAATGATCTTATCTTCTGGGTATAGGAGAGTGTCAGTTTTTTGCTGAAAGCCCAGCAGTGACAGCTGGGTATGCAGACAAACATCACACAGCTGGCACAGGACAGCACCAAAGACCAAACTCCAACTCTCCCAGAGCTGAGAGGGGTCTCTTCAGATCCTTCTTCTTCCTGTGTAAAAACATGACTAAACACATTCATTGGGAAGGTTAGGCAAGAAAACAACAAAGGAGTTTTGCACTTTCAGCTGGAGGAAAGCCAGGAGTGCTAAATCAGCATTACACAGAGCAGAACGGGTCACACACCTGTATAAAACACACATTTCTGTCAGTAAAAAATGTGTCCTTTAGACTTATCAGCAAAAATTGGGGACCAAGAACTCAGTGCTGCAGTGGCCCGGTACCGGAGCAGCCCCTCTGCCAGCCCTGCCATTACTGCCCATGCATGGCCCTGCCAAGTGCTGCTGGGATGTTGTCCATGGGGCTGCTGAGAGCTGAGGTCCCACCAACACTGCAAGGGCATCCAGGCTGGTTGCAGGGACACTGGCACCCTCTGCCAAGAGCCTGCAATGTGGCTTTAGGCAGAGACATCACCAAGAAGTTGGGTGTAGGAAGGGTTGGGTCACTTTAAGCAATTCCTGTCACAGGAGTGAGAGTGGCACAGGTTGATAGTGGCTGCTTGCAGCTGTGAAACTGAATTCATTTGTCACTATTTCCAGTCTAATAACCTACTTACCTTCCACCTCCCTTATGTGCTCTGAATACCCTGGGTTCATGCTGCACTTACACTTCTATTGCATACCCATCACACCCATATATCATTGTTGCTTCTTGTTGTCCTAGGATCTTGAAGTACCTCAGAGTCCTTTCCATAGTCACCGGAAAAAGCTGTGCATCCAGAAAAAGGAAAAATCTCCATTACCAGCCCTGGTTATGCCTTTCCAACACTTCATTCAATAAAAACTCTTTCCTCAGTAAGGACAAAGTCTTTTCCACTCCACTATGCTCTCTTTCTGTTTTTCCTGAATGAAGCATCAGCATTTACCTTGATTCTCAGCACCAACTGCTGAATGCCCCTCCTCCTGCTCTGCCCTCGTCAGGCATGGAGGGGAGATGTGAGGGATAGTTCCCAGCTCCTGTCTGCACACTGAGTTCCTGTGCTGGCCAGGAAGGTCATCTAAAAGCCTGGATGCTGTGTCTTCGTTACTGATACTTCTGACCTGCCATAGTTCTCTGTATGGCCAAGCTTTCTACATCGCTCTGAAATTCTGCACAAAGTCCAAACAAAAGGCCAGAACTAGCACTGGTGTCAAGCAGGTGTGGGAAGAAAGGCAGAAATTCTGTGCCAAGAATTCAGCAGAGCAGTGTGTGCCAACCCAGCCCTTGCTTCTAACGCATGTAACTCCCCAGATGCATGCTGGAGGTGAGACCCCCTTACTTTATTCTGATGGAGAGACCCTTAAAACTTTTGATTCTCTTTTATTGATGATTGACCATGAATTTTAGTGGGAACAAAGCTGAGCAGGAGTCACTAAGAATGTCATTTTTATAGCTTCTTAACATCAGAAAAGAAAAATACAATAGGTAGAGGAAGGCTCAGAGCATTATTTTCCATCACTTAGCCCTCTTTTCCTGTTTTACACTGCATTTGTCACTGTTGTAAGCTGCAGCACTTTCAGAGATGGACAAGGACTACCAGCAGTTTGTGCTTTCCAGTGCCTCATGCGTACACTGGCTGCACCCTGCGTGTTGCACAGCTGATTTCTCCTAAGGGAACTGTGCTCCTGCAGCCCGTGCTGCGTGACACAGTGTGAGTAAAAAGCACACTCATTCATCGAGTAATGGCTTTTTAACTCCATCAGTACTGTACAGTTTAGGGACACATTCTCCAAATGCCCTGCATTACTACGTCAGGAAATTTTTATACTGTAAACATTATTCAGTCTTTTTTTTGTAAACATATAAATCTCATATAAAGATGACTGGAACTGCACCTTCCTCACACAAGGAGACAAAAGAAATCTCACAACAGTGCAAGGCCAGTAGCACCTTTCTGATTGTGTTTCCTGTGGCTTGCAAAGCTGAACTGCTTAAGCAAATGTCCCTGCACGTGAATTATATCCACTTCACTTAGAATTTCCTGCCCTACTTGTTTTGTTGTGCTCCTTCTTATTCTGGTAACTGCTCTATATTTAACAAAGCTACTATCTGGACATAAGTACTTGCTAATTAAGCATGTACTTTATATCACAAAATCACTGTATAAAACACAACCCCATGCCACATAATTGCCTGGCTAGTGATAATGTAACAAGCGGCTTTTAAAAATTATTCCTTTGAAAGACCAGCATTATAAAATCCAGCTTAATAAATATATTTTATAAAAGGGTAGCTCAAGTAATTCGGTGAAATAGTGCTTATGTCTACAGGAAATCTGAATGGTCACAGTTTGGTTGTATGAAATGAGGCAAATGAAGAGCAACACACGTCTGAACATAAGAGCGGGAAAAAAAATAAGTTGTAGGTAATAAGACAAGCAGAAATCTAAACTGTATTTTAAATGATATGTGAAGAAATCAGCACTAGACTAGGAATCTGATAGCTTGCTTGCTCACCCCTTACTGGGAGGGTTTTGTTTTTTTTTTGCTTCAGAAGCAAAAAACCCATCTATGACTGGGAAACCATCAAAAGCCAAATGCTGGGTGCCTTGCAGTCCCAGTGCCCTGCTTGGCAATTGGTAGTGACAGGGCAGTTTGCATACCTACAGGCCCATGCAGATTTCCCTGAACACTGCTCAAAGAAGAGACCCACACTCAGTTCAAAGAAACATCCATCACAGACACACAGATAACAAGCTGGAAAATATTTTCTGCAGAGACAACCCCAAACACCTCCTCCATTTCTAAAAATCCTATCTTATTTTTCCAAATTCTTATTGTTTTTCCAGCAGGTAAGACCAGCACCCAGCTTCTCCAGTAGCCAACTGACAGCAGCTATCAAGTGTGCCAGCGCAGCTGTGCTGAGCCTTCCCCTATTTTCAACATGGGTCCATTAACAGCTGCTCCACAGCTGCCCATGTAATGAAGGTTTCTGCTGGATCCTGCACAGGCTTTCTAAGGTGTCATTAATTTCTCCTTAAAAGCACCAAAGTAACATTCATATATCACTTCTCATCAAAAGGTTTTCTTAGAAGCTGAAGGCGGTAAGATTCAGGACCAGGTATACATTTAATGAAGAAGACCAGAGGCTTGTTACAAACTCATCTTGGTAT